CTCATCGCCCATGACGACGTCGTAGCATCGCGTCTCCTCCGATGTGGAGACCTTGCACCCATTTCCAAAACACAAGTCCTACAATCCCTTCTATATGGTCGATGGCCTTGACGAATATGGGCTTCCCAGGCTTCCTCTGACGTCATCTTGGCCAAGTGTGGCTCTTCACCCGCAGTTTCATCGCCTTCCCGTTTGAGATGTCGGTGAAGCGCTTCTCGGATGGCAGCCCTTAATCCCGGTGCCCATACCGCCCAGGTGGACGACAAATGGCAACGGTCTTTGATGTCCCTTGGCAGGGCCTCGGAGTGCTTGGTGCTGCGTTGATCTTCCAAGTCTCTCATGTCCTCCAGGTTTGTGAGGCACGTGGTCGGTTTCCGTCGTGAGTGCCCAAAGCACCCTTGATCAAAGGATACCAAACCCATTCCTTGGTAGCGGAGCAGCTGCATTAACTCCGGCCATGCCCAAAAGCTTGGACTTTCTTCTTCGCGAGCTTGTGGAACATACGTCAACGGATCCTGTGGGCTCTCCAAAAGGAAAGCGGTTCTCACACGATGACGCTCGCGGCATTCTTCAGACCTTATGAACAGGCCAATTTGTTTCAGCAGCAGTGCTGCATCTGAATCAGCCAAGTTCTTCTCCCGGTCTGTCAATCCTGGTAGACCATACCGGTCATGGAAACGTCCACGCAATGGTCTTGGTCCCGGTTGTTTCTGCCTCAATTGGCTGACCGTCCGACAGGGAGGTCCCCCGATGATAGCAAGAAGTTTTCCCAGGCTTGCAAGTTTCCAAAGGAAACTCCATGTTCCCGGATTGTGTAGATCTTGATTTCGACCTTCATTGATATCCAAAGTGATGACTTCAATCCCATTGATGGGATTCTTTCGCCATTCCTTCGCCCTTTCTCCAGCAAAAAGGTGGACTATAACCCCTTTTGAGGTGAGCAGCCTCCTTCTTTTGTGCCGGTTCCATGGTAAATCATGGTTCATTTGCGGATCTTCTTCATCTTGACCCCGCATGTAATTCCAAATTCTGTCCGGTGTTTCCGGAAATCGTGATCCCCACCACTTCTTGGTCTTCTCCGTGGGCTCTTCCAAGGTGAGCCGATGGTTGGTCCTCTTTTCCATTTCCATGTGCTCAATCTCAGTGATCAGAGCCAGAGCGTGGTCCTTTCGAACCACTGGACACCCAGACCTTAACCAACATTCTATGTTTCCCAGTCGTGGATGCTTCACAACACATCCTGCACGGGACCAAGTGATGGTGTATCCCAATTCCACCAAACCTCGAAGAGGTACAATTGGTTCCACCGGTCCCTCCGACAAGAGGGTTCCATTCACAGGATTTTGATAGAGCTGAGCAGCTCCATGTGCGAGTTCCACAGTGACCTGCACCGCGTTCTTGATCTCCTCGGTTGATCCCTGTCTCAAGGGGTGTGTCGCCCCACCATCCAATAAACCTGTTCCATCATCAAACTCGACTTCGAGATGATCCCCACCATGCCCCACCGATTTCAAGACCGGTCCATTGAGACCCTTCAAAAGGTTGGTCACTTCTCCCACAACCTTGTTGGCCTCCTCTGGTACAGGGGTTATAGTGACCGTGGACTCCTTCATCGGATTGATCTTCACGGTAGGTTCAGAATGTTCTTGAGCAGCAACTCCCTCTTTTCCAGGACCATTTTTCCTCTCTTGAGATCTTGAGCGGATTCTTGTGGTTTTGGCCACCTTTGGTTCCTCGGATCCACCTTGTGGACCTCGTGACTCACTTCGTTTTCCCGCCGGACAATCACGTCGGGAGTGTCCCCTTCCAGAACAGTTGAAACATCGGCCATCTTTGGAGTCCAGGACAGTGTGCGTGAATCGGCACCGGTCAGCATATTGGCATCCCTTATCTGTCAGCCAGTTGATGCACGCAGTCTTGTGGACCACATTAGCCGCGTTAATCGGCAGCTCGGGCTTTTCTCCCCTCCTTCCGGTGGAAGAACCTGCTGCGTCTTCTGGTTTTCCCTTTGAAGCGCCCTTTGGTGGGTTTCCAGATGAATCCGGCCCACTCATTGACTTCACCCCTACCACATTATTGGGTTTAGCCGCTGGGCCCTGTGTTATGTTCCCCGGTTGACGGAGAGCCATTTCACCAGCTTCAGCTTGAAGAAGTTCAGAAAACGTTCTGATCTCTTGCATTCCCGGCCGGAGATCTATGCCCAAATGCTGTCTCACCGAAGACAACCGGTAGGCAGCTTGAGCTCCCCCCAATCTGGCCAAGGCATCACTCATTTTTGCGACCACTCCGGCCAAAACCAGAGGATCGGGCAAAACCAATTGAAGTTCTTCGGCACGAACCACCCATCTTCTCCACTTCCGGATGGAGTTGACCATCTCTGCAGCATTATTAGACGGACATTTCCAGTCCACCAACATTTGCAGCAGGGCAGTTCTTTCCACTTGTCCCCCAGGTTGGAAGACGGTGTACAGCTTGAACATGACTTGACCCACTGACATGTGTCTGTTCGCCACAAGGTCCTCGTAGATGTCCTTGGGGACGGCTTGAAGCAGCATACCCACCACCCGTTTCTCTGTGCGAGGCCACCTACGGGCCATGTCAGGTATCACAGGCGCCATCCGGAGCCTCATGAGTGGATCCGCTTGCAACCAGTGGTGGTATGCTTGTTCAACAGCAGTCATCACTACTTCCCACCATTGCTCTGAGGTGTAGCTCACATCCCCAATCATCTGTTGGGCAACTGTCAGCCAGTCTCCAAAGTCCAAAGATGTTGCATTCCTGTCCAGCTTCGGCAATTCGACCGATCTTAGCGTTTCGCCTGGTACTTCTCCCCCTGCCTGAGGTCCTGCTTGGACTACAGCTTGTTGTTGTTGTGGCGGTGCAGCTTGTCCTGGATTTCCTTGATGACCACCTGGGAGACCGGGATTTCCCTGATGACCACCTGGCGGACCAGGTGCTTGTCCGGGATTTCCATACTGCCCTGGCGGTGGACCCCCTGGCCAACCATAACCACCCATAGGTCCGGTGTTTCCTCCCGGAAATGCAAAAACCCCTTGAGGTCGATGATCTTGTCCTGCAGGTGCTCCTCCAACTTGGACTTGAGGATTATACCATTGATTAGGTTGGTCACCGATGAAAAAGTGTTTTGTGTTTTCCGTGGCTCCCATGCAAGGAACTCCCATCGGTGGTCTTGACGCCGCTCTCTGCGGCATACCTCCCGGTGGTATTCCAATTAGCCACCCTTGATTCATGTACACATCCATCGGCCGAAAACCTTGTTCGACCTTGGGCGCAGGAGGAACATTCCACAACTGACCTCCCGCCTGCATTTGAAGATCTTGATCATGGTGATGTTGAACTCCTGGAACTGGTTGATCTTGCACATGTTGTACCTGGGGTGGAACACCTTGAGGTGGCCCCACAGGAAAACCCTGCTCGACATTCTTCAGCTCCGGCGAGGCGGTTTGATAAGACCCCCCACTTGACTGAGAGCCCTTGTGACCTCCTCCGGCTTCTCGGACCCGTTCCAGGGCACGTTTCTCTTCCCGCGTGGCTAACCAATTTTCTCGATCTTGTTGGATCTCGGTCTTGCCCCGTTGTAAGAATTCCATCATTTGCTGTTTCAACTCCTCATACTTTTCCTTCTCCCTCGCGTCCGCCTGATCAATCAGGTCTTGCGACACTATGGGATAAGTCAGCTCTTTCACTGGAGTTTGTGGACTGCTCATTAGAGCTTCCACTCGCTTGGCAGCACTCCATGGATTCGTTTCCTCTGCAGCCATGACCCCGGTTACAATCCCAGGATCCACAACCGCCGTTCCCCACTGAGGCACCATTCCCGTAGGTGGCACTCCAGCACACATGGATTGCTGGGACATCCCAGCGACTTGCGAACCCTGTGTTCCACCAGTTGCGGTATACACCACAGGTGCTCCCGCTGGCTGGTAGATCACAGGTGAGCCTGTTGGTGCCGCTGGCACCGATTGTTTGACGCGTGCATCTTCAGGAGACTCAACAGGTGAACGTCCCGGTCGCTCCAAAAGAGCAACGGTTTCCACAACAGCAGCCGCACCTCCACCCACTTCAGTTGAGCTTTGGTGTTTTCCACCCTGTCCTTCTTCTCGATTACCCACAACAGGTGGTTCACGAAATCCCTCAGACATCCGGGCAACTACTGGTGTTTGTGTCATAGGCACTCCCGAAAGAGTTAGACTATTCACACCTGGGGTCAAACCAGACAACAGACCGCCACTCCCATTTCCTCGTACCACTTCAAGTCCAGGAGGTTCTTCAGGTGGTAAGGACACTGGTCTTGCGACTTCTTCCGCAACAGCCGGATTCTGGGCGATTCGTTCGCCCGCTCCAGCCCGGACCGCCGCAACCTGCACTAGGGCTCCACTTCCCCCAGCACCGGTCAGTGCCATCACACTTTCTCCAACTTCCCCTTCCATCAGTGATCTTCGGGTTGAGTCTGATGATCTTGTCCCTGTTCTTTCCCCATGTGCTTGTCCAGGTGCGTCCATCTCCTCCAGAAGCCGGTCCAGCATTTGGTCTGCCGTTTCCGCGCGTTCTTCTTTTCCATGTCCATGGGTCCCATGTTGTACTTCTTCAGCATGAGCAGCCGCTTGAACTTGGCGTTCTTGTCGACGACGCTGAGTGAAGTCGCTGCTCGACATTGCTTCAAGGCAGCGTTGGGGTTGGGCTCATAACCCACGGGTTTCAGACTATGACCGAGACCCTTCCCGGAGGTCCCCACCAAGAGGCAGATGCAAGTGCACCTTTTCACTCCAAGTTGGGCTCGGTGATCTTGAGCCAGTCAGTTGATTGGCCCTTGAGCCAAAGTTGCAACAGTCGGAGGACGTCTCAACGACTGTGAAAACTTTAAAAAGACCTTAGTGGGGGTGCAGTGGTACTCTGTGCATGTTTCCCAAACCGCAGTTTTAAATCGTTACCCCATGGGACCGCCATGAGAATCTCAGTGCATGAAGACAACCACCGAGGTAGTGACCTTTCGGACATGCATCTGCTGCAGATGCTTGGCGGCAGATCCCGTGTTCGAGGGGATGCAATTCACCGAAGAGATCCTAAAGCATTCAAAAGCTGGGTAGGATATGGTGGGATGAGGTACAGCCACTGTACAGCCCATACCGGGAGAGTCATGAACCGACTAACTGACCTTCCATCCGTACATAGGATGATCAACCCCCATTTATTCATACAACACCAATCAGGGATAGACCCAAAATGGATGTTTGATGTTCTTTTGTGCGCTGTGGTTTCAGGGCTATCCATGCTGCACTGTCAGTTACTATCTGAGTTATAGATATGTGTTTTTCCTTGAAAGTTGCGGAGGCTGGGAATATTGTCAGAACATTGATCATAAATGGATGACACGCCATTGTAATCAATACTGCAATATATTGTAATCCACGCATAGCCCATCCACGCATGGCATGGCCCCGGGCTCCCAGGATCCAGCTGCAGCGCGAGCTGCGCGGCTTCTCGGAGCGCTTCCCAGCGGAGCTGCGACAGGAGCTGCGGGAGGTGAAGTGCCTTAGGCTGAACGGTGAAATTCATTTCACAAATTATATTATATATATATGATATATATTGTTATTTAATATATATATATACATATATATATACATATATATATATATATATACAGTATATCATGTGTGCCTCAGGGGGGATGATATCAGCTGAGTCAAGTGATGACATTTTATGAAGTTAATAAGCCGAAACTAAAGTTAGATAATGCTATGTATCGCTTCACCAAGGGTATTGTCATAATGTCATAGGTGAGGTGATGTAACTGATAAAAAATAGCATAGTGTAACTTAATCAGTTGGTGAAGTGATATAACAAATTTATGCAGGTGTTGTTGTCAGACAATGGAATCACTAATGGCATGTTAATGGAATGTGATATTTGTGATGTGAATTTGTCTGAAAATGGGTTATATCCCAAATGGCCATTGAGTAATAGGGAAAATGATGGTAAACATGTTTGGGCATCCCATTCTCAGAAAAACCAATCAAATGTTGTTTGGCCACATTAGCTGTACTTGTGGCAAAAGGCTATTAGTTATGATGGGTGACAATGATGGTGATATGATATAATAGTTACTGTAGTTGATAGTAATGCCTCAATATCGTATTGATGTTTTAAATTGTGTTCTTATCCATATTGAAGATATATATATATGATTATATGTGTATATGTTTAGTTAGTTTTAGTGATGTCTTATAGTCGTACAAGATACATTTGTATATATTTGTATTGAAGATACATCCCATGCGTTTGTCCATCGTGGAGAGATATTCCAATGGGATGTGTTCGCTGAGGCGACCGATGATGGCGGAGATGCAGAAGTTGTCCGGCAAGTTGCGAGACCCAGGTGCGGGACTTGTGACAGAAACGGGGTAGAATAGTCAATTAAACAGATGATACGTATAGTCACTAAAATCAACAATCATGGGTACATGACATGTTTAATTGGTTAGATTATTTGTTACTTCCCACCCCTAAACATGGAAAAATGAGACACGGTTGAAGGAAGTCAAGCCACTGGCCGGATGAAACAGTGGTTGAGAAGGGTGGGTATCCATGGGTGGCATGCACCTGGTTGGCTCAAGACATGTTGAAGACAATGGTGATGATGATAAACCTACATATCCATACATATATGAACTGATGGAAATGGTGGAAATCAGTTAATATTGCATATCAGAATGCCAGAAGTTCATCTTTCTAGTTTGTGCACAGAGTTGGGAACCATCTGGTGTAGGCGGGCTGACGGCGAAGAAGATTATGATTCAGTTGACTCAAGGGTTCCCGGAGGCATCCGGCCAGGAAAAAAAATGTTATTTTATGAAGTGACTTGCTCCTTAAACAAACTCTCCGATTCAAATTGGGCCCAGATGTTGACAATTCACAAAGATGTGTTTGTTATAACTGTTATATGTTGATTACTTTGTTATATTTTGTTATCCTATGTCATTTGTTGGCTCATTGCCGCTTAGATCCCCATGCCCAGATGCAAATCGCAAGTCCACTGTGCGCACGAGCGCCACTCGCTTCTACCGGCGACCGCAGGAATGTCAACCCATGAGGAAATCCTCCAAAAACGGTTTGTCCGCTAAACAATGATACCAATCAATGCTACCCCCGTGTTTACAAGGTTGGTTTGGTTTTTATTGAGTCCTTCCGTAGATGGACGAAATATTCAAACCTTTTCCATCTAGTACAACCTCACCCCCAAAGTTCAATGTTAATGTGAACTGAGGTGCTGTAGTTCCAATGGACGAAATAATCAAACCCCAAAGTCGCTTTTGCTAACACGCGCATTGAAACACTGAGATTTGGGGGTCGGGGGTTCAACACAGCCTGTTGCAGGGTTTGAACATTTTGGGTGACGCTGCACATGATATGCAAGTCTGTGGTTCCTCTTGGTCGATGTTTGGATAGTATTTTTGCAGCTATCATTCAAAGCAGACTATGCCTGTATCTTCATACATTAGAGATCATTAGAGAATAATTATATAATATGATATAATATATATATATACACACATATATACACACGTGTGTTTGCAATATACGACATCTATTTTGTTGTCACTGGGGTTCCCAAGAAAAACCTATACCCTTGAGCCTTTCCGTCTTCCAAGGACCCCTCGGCGTCGTTAACCTCATCGCCATCGACGCCGCGGGAAAGCACCGCGGACAAGCCGCGGAAAGCATCCTCCGGGTGCGGATTGGGGAGTTTGTTTGTGTTGCTTTCTTAGGCTAAGATGGCTAAACTACACAAAATATGATAAACATATGTATTATGGGCATTTTATAGGCCAATGCTTAGTTGCTTAGCTTATCAATTGCTGTTTACGGACGACAATGGAGATGGGTACTCTACATAACGAATAGGGTCTGCTTGGGGAAGAGTTTGAAGCCAGTCTTGGAGAGGACCAAACATTCCAGCACCACGCCGGTGTGATCCTCGTCCCCGTGCTCTCAACCAAATTTCTATGCATGACATATAAAGAGAACTGCTACTGCAGCATTTGGATGTTCAAAGTTTGAGCAAAACATGCTCTATTTGAATTCTATTTGTTTTATGTGTTCTATCTATGCATTTTTCACGGTGCTTAACCATTTTTCAGTTGCTTGGGTGGCAACCTTACGTTGGAGTCCCTTCCAAAGGCCCGCTAGTTCTGTCAAAAAACGGGAGGGTGAAACAGCTGGAAAAGCTTGGATTGAGCTGATTCCACGTGGCCTCACAAATGCCAATGACATGATTAGGTCTGCGCTAGATTGTCCTTCCACTGTTTGTCACATCGAAGATCCCGAAAGCATTGATTGCTCCAGTAAAGGACATGTTGATATGGTTTCAACGAAGCTTTCTGAATTTTCAGCACAATTCCCTCCGCGGATATACCTGCGGCCATGTGCTGCCGGCGCAAACAGGAGCCTCAAAAGCGAATCTGGCACCCTGGCGTTGTCGGCCGCTCGACCCAATCAGTGGAGATCCCATCGCCAGGGAATAGGTTGGATGAACTGGGGAACATCTTGGGATGTTTTATTACATTTAGATACATTTAGATCATCATTCAGGGTGGAACGGAAGCCACTCGTCTTGTCCAAAGTGTGGGTCTACAATGTTTATTGGAATGCAATCACCACCCCTGACTTTCGACGATGGCAACAGAGTTGATGTGTCTTTGAGTTTGTTTCCAAGTTTCAAAGCATCACTCACGTTATTGTTTTACGTTTGCAACTTGGGAATCTGAAAAGGTTGTGAAGCAAAAGCGTGCTTTTCACAAACCCTAAAGACCTAAAGATCCATAAACCTTGGAAGATCCTCAAAGATCCATCACTTTCCAACATGTTCCAACTTTTTTTGGTATACCTTGAGATATCCAGTGGACGCTGTGTGGCGTAGCACCAGCAGCACCAGCAGCCCCAGCAGCACCAGCAGCACCAGCGGTGAGGCCACCTTCGCCGAGAACCCGGAGAACCAGGAGAATGTTGAGACCGCTTCTTGGGCAGCAAGGGAGACTGGAAATCAACCATGTCATCTTATTTCATAGGGATATCATGGAAAAACATGGGGATAAAGTGGAGAGATAATGGGGATATCATAGGGATATAGTGACTATAGTGGGATACAACCAATGAAATCAATGATCTCATGGTGATGTAATGGCATTTGTAGCCAACATCAACCAACAGGATTGAAGGTTTCCAGTATTGGAGGTCACTATGCGCTAAACACATGAGGGCCCCAATCTGCCCGATCGTGATACCTCGAAGGTTGCTTTCCTCTTGAAATACCGGAACATCTTGGATGAAGCACCATGAAGCACCATGAAGCACCAATGTTTGACCAAAAATTGATCACTTGTGATGCCCTAAACTGGGTTCTCCGACAACATTCCTCATTTGGCTCGGCTCGTCCAAGCTGCAAATTTGCTGATTCAGTTGATCCAAAACCTGACCATGGAACCTTCCAACAAAATGGACTGGAAGATGATTTGCAGATGACATTCAAGAATATTCAAGAAATTCAAGGCCCATGACCTCTGTCAGTTGGGTTTCACTTCTTTATATGCCAATTACACCTGATATATCCTGATATCATATCTCCATTTTGCCATCCCGTGTCCCATGTCAGCATCACTGATGGTTTGGAGATGTTTTGAGATGTGTCAGTCTGTGTCAGTGGATGATCCCAGTTGATCAGATCACTCGCTAACCAGCGCCATGGCGCCTTGCGAACGGCGAGTCATCACCCCGCGGGACATGGTGCTGTGGTCCTGCTCGCCGGAAACTTGGCGATTGGTGGAACGGACGGCAGGGGCCACCATTTTTCTAAATGGCAAATGGCGATTTTCCAAGAAAATACAAGGGATGAACTGATGAAACCCAAACAAATCGGGTGATGAAGCAAAAACTAGTGGGAATACTTATGGGCATACCCCAGAAAACTCAGGAAATCCGATACCGTGCTGGAGAACGCCAGAAACACTAAGTGCGATTCTCATCCAACATCAATAAGGGCTTTCAAGATGATGAAACCAATACAGTGAAGCGGGCATAAGAGTGACATGGCCGTATGGCCTTTGGCAATTGATATGACCACCAGAAATGAGCGTGGAAGCAGATACAATGAAGATATGGGTGGGTCAAAAGGTTAATAGCGTAGGAACAGAACTCCTATGCTCACCCTCCTTCTCTGCACAGAAATGGGTATGATGTCCTTCATGTTTTGTTGGATATCATCGAATAGCAAATATCACTCATATATCTTCCGTACATTTTCCATATACCACCTATATATCACCCATGTTTTTTCCCTTTCGGCAGGAATTGCTCAGCTTGGAGGGTGCACCGGGTGCACCGGGTGCACCGGATCCAATGCCCCCTGCGGATGCGGTGAAGGTCGAAGCAGCGACCGGACGGCACCGGAGATGGGCCAAGTTGTGGCAAGCTGAATCAGTTTTGTAAATCGGATGAAACATTGCGAAATGTTGTGTGAAATATTGGGAAATGTCATAAGATGTCATAAGCCATCTGATTGCAGATGATTCTAAGATCATTGTTCTGTTTTTTCTACATGGACTTTCCAAATAAGCTGAAAGTAAATGGTTGGGGGTTAACAACCAAATCGATAGTCATGAGATGATTTACTGTATGATCCCCAGGTTCGAGAAGAAATTTGCTATTGTAGATGGACTTCGTTTTCCTGAGTCCTGAGAACCAAAACCAGGATGAAAGGGGAATCGAAGAGGATTAAAATAGGGGATGTAACCTCTGGAAATCAGTTGGTGTCACCAAGGCATTTGCCTCAGTTGGTGTGTCCAAGCATGGTGATACAAGGGAAATCTCAGGCTATATGAATCAAGTCACGTAACCAGCCATGATTGGGAGGTGATAGGGGTATCGATGGAAGGAAGCCAGAATCAGAGTGGCTTCCAGTTCCCGACGTGGACCACACAAGTTGGAGTGATTAGATAAGTTTATGTGTGCCAAACTCACTTTGGATGCATGTACAGCAAATACAATTGTGAAAATGATGGAAGTGTCATTTGCCATGTGTTAAAAGTTCAAATTACTTGCCAGTGGTGATATATTCCATGCCTTGGTTGGTTCCCATAGGATCAACATTCAAGTGTTGTCCTACCAATGTAGGACCGAACCCAGTTCTATCAATGGAATTGATACCCAGTTCATCCCAGCTCTATCAATGCCCAGGTTTGCGGCACACTTTTTTGACAAGGGCCAATTTTCATGGCATGGATCCATATTTCTAAGTTACCGTATGTTCATTGACCATTCTGAGGGGCCGGTACAAGTACAACAAGTACAACGAGTACATTCATTGACCATGCAGAGAACGAGTCAGCGGGAGATCCGTGCCTTGTGTCTTGGTGAGGTCGCTGTAGTCGCCCCGTGTCGCCCCGTGTCGCCGTAGATCCCTTGAGGTGGAGCGGTTTTGGAAATCCACCGAAGGGGAGCTCGAATCCGGGAGTTAAAATTGTGGCTCGAATTGCCACCAGATTTTTACAGCATGTGATGGTGGACATTAATTAATCAATATCACGGAATATAACGGATACAGTTTCCTTAGATGACTAACAGTTAGCTAAACTATCTCCATGCTGATGATACAATAGATTCGTGGGGTCCATTTCAAATTATAACCGCTCGGTGATACTCCTCTATCGGCCAGAGCCTCTGAATCTGCGATGCGAGCAAGCGACCGAAACAGAAGCCACGGTGAAACTTAGCAATGGTAGGGATATCATCGACAGCGCGGGTACCCACGCAAGAATCATTTGATTAGGGATTTGTTTCGCCAGTTAGTTTGGGATGTTTGGATCATCACTAACCATCATTGAGCTGGAAAATATTGGAAAATATTGGAAAATGCCTGAAATCAAGTGTTTGTGCGAAAAGCATCAAAAAGGCTATGAAATTACCCGGGGTCGTCTTTATTTTTCGTTGAACCTTTCTGACCCAGAGACGGCTCATTTTGGAAGGATGTTTTCTGGCAGTTGTGTCCATTCCTACTTCATCATTGATACTAGGGGAGAGTGATCCTTAAACTGGTTCATTTTTTACATTCATGATGATTGCCATTAATTGCCCATCAACCTTCAGATCACTTGCAATAAGATAGACTTTATCATATCTACTCTTTCAGTGCGGGCGTTAAAGCGTTTGAAATGAAGACAATGTTCAACCCCCGCGAGGTATGTGGAGAACAGTTCAGTGGGCAAAGTGCATTATTTGAAGAGTATTGAGACAGAGGCCAAGAAGTACTGGGGCAACCAGGCCAGTGTGGTGATCGATGTTTGCAGCTCGCTTTTAAGCGACCAGGGGTTTGGCTTTTCCGGTGGCACGAAATGGGTAGCACATGATAGGTCTAAAATATCCTAAAATAAGGTGCTGGAAGGCAGATTAGGATCTAGAATGATGTAGATATAGTATGATATAGTGCCTGGCAAAGTGCTTGAGATGTATTGCAATTCTGTGAGTTCATGGGCCATCACTAGCCTTGAACACACATGTGAACTGCGTTTGCTCCCGCAGTGTTCAGAGCTTACCGTTGTTTCCTAAATGGTAGCATGACCCTCTTATTCCCGCCTGGGTTGAAACTGATTGGTTTGAAAGTGTTCGTTCGAGCAAAATAATCGACATGTGGATAATCCCATTTTGGGGGGCCGCCCTTCATGGCAGCTTTTATCCACGCCCAAATTCTTGCGGCCAAACATTGCTTCTTTGATGGTTGAAATCCCGTTTGTGATTGCCTTACAACTATGGCAGCTATGGTTTCTGATCACTTGCTGACTGGGTTCCAGTCAAGGTCCCAGGTGGCAGACGACAGTAGATCTCCATCTCTGCTTTCCTTGGGTATCTCCACGCATGTCCCTTCTTGAGATCACGCTCCATTTCGATTCGATGTATCCCATCTCCGCATATCTCTATTGGTTCAGAGCAAATACCATGTTGAATGATGATCTGCTTTTCATCTGCTTTTCATGTAGGTCCTTGTCTGCAGGAACGGTGACTGCAAACAAAGTACAGCCCAATGCTCCCTATTGCTGGCTAGGAACCCCTTGCACTGCCTGCGTGTCCTAGCCTGGCTGCGGCGTGTGCAGTGATTGCACCCCGTGACAGCTACCCAACACCACCATGGGCTATGAGATTGGCATGGATGAAGGACATGACTGCCAAGTGCAATTTCAAATCCTTCACACATGCAAACAGGTACAGTTGCGAGACGCTCTGGTTAATCCTGAGCACAAACATGTATTTCCATTACAAGGGCCCATGTTTGTGAAGCCTGTTTCCTGCAAAAAAAACGGTCCTTTTTTTGGAACTGCTTCCCAATGATCTCCATATTTTGCGGGTCAAATCCCCATTTTGTTCAGTAATCCGTACTCTTCGTTGCTAAACTCGGTAGCCCAGGCAGCCCTGCGGACTTTGCAGGGGAGGCCGCGGGCGCAGCCGAGCAGTTGGCCACACTCAGCGGCTACGACTTCATCGTCCTGGGTGGCGGGAAATGCACCAGCCACGCGGCGGGGGGTTCCGGGGTTGATGGAGGTTGGAATCTTCCCGGGGGGGGGTTCAGGGAGAGCAATGAAAAAAGCTTCCAATCAGGACCCCAAAAAATTGGGCCATAACCGCCTGAGGGTCTAGGAATTGAGATGAACTGTACCTCTGGAAGTGTGTTCACAAATCACAAGGGACACCACCAAATTGATGGCCGACTAGGCATCTATTGGGCATCACTAGGGGTTGGTTTCCTATCTCTGAGCTGCTGAACAGAAACTAAACAGGATAACGCGATGCCACAAATGGGATTGGGGGTCCATGAAAATCTCGGGGCAGCTTGCCATATCACAGATTGTCAGTACAGCATGTCTTGATCCCACTAGATTTCTAGATCATCATTTCGAAGCTTCCGTCCTCCCAAACGCTTACAGTAAGATATAAAGATTATTCCATATTATTATTCCACTGTTTGATGTTTGCGCCATCATCTCTGTCGATTTATAGCTATATCATGCTACATCTTTGTTTCTAGTTTCCAAGATTTCCCAGGTATGACGGACCATGAAGGTTGGATGGACTTGTTGCAGGCCCTACGCGTCCCGCTGCTTGGGATCCCTGGCATTGCTCTGGTGAAACCGGGATGATCCAACTGTTGGGATCTCATGTCTGGTGTAGATCTTTAAACAAAAAAGATATTTTGTAGACACATCTCATAGAATATGTACCTGTAATATGTATAATATAACTACATATGACATAGAATCTAGTTACAATGAGTTACATATATGACTATATGATGTATAATCCAAGATGATCACAAAGTTTGGGGTGATCACCCAGGTAAGAACCATTTCTGCTAGCTTGGTTGTGGGTAAGAACCCGTCTCCCCTAGTTGTATTTGTGTTTTTATCTTGACCATGTTACAGCCATAACCCGGCCCAATTGGACTACCTGGGGCTTTAGTGGGCTACACTTCATTATTACATACACACACAGAGCACTTTCTAATATCATTTTGTTCATGGGAAATTGTCACCAAGGTATGTCTGGGGAATGGCATCCAACTATCAACTACCCAAATTGTCCGAGATTTCAAGGTGTCGCATGTGTTGGTTCAAAGTCACCCAAAATCATCCTGTTGGGACGGGGCCTTCAACTTCGTATAACTTGATAACTCCAGTGTCACCCAAGATACCTAGACTTTCCAGACCCAAGGAGTCAGCTCGGCTCAGGATCTGCTTGGGTTCACAGCAACTGACCAAAGCATATGGGATGAAGCTGAGCAAGCTGAACGACAAGTGGCTTCGGTGAAAGATGGGAGGTCCATGAGGTTGATCGAACACGATCCATGAGAGAAACTTCGGCCTTGAGGCCGCAAGCGTGTTTTGCAAAACTGTTGGTCAAAGGACCCACATGCGTGATTTGTTTTTGAGTGATTTGAGAATATTTGAGATCACTTTTTATACAATGGTCTAGGATTCTCGGGTGATGTTTATGGAGCAAATATAAGACACCCAAATACAGACCAACGGACTTGGCATGTCTCAGGGATCTCCAATAAATTCCAAGAATCCAAGCCACCAATGCCACCAACAAAACCAAAATCTTGCTGCTGGCATCTAACGAGGTTTGTGGGCACGCGGCCCTTCATGGGCACCCCCAGTGATTTAGCCTTCAGCCATCAGTTTGGGACCTGCGTCAAGGACCCGAGGGCAGAACCCGCACCCGACAGCAATGGATAGTTTTGGTCACCAGCAAAATGTGAATTTAGCCAACAAAAATGGTTGATTCCATGATGTCATAGGTTGGTGTCAGTCACCAACTGAAGGCATCTCAACTGTCGAAGATTGGTTGTTCGGCTTGCTGTACCACCGTACCACTCGGGTTTTGGCTGGGAAGGGTTCAAAAATTCCGTTCAGATCCCAAAATCTTCAAACCATCCGCGGAATCTAATGGATCTTGGGGTTCAAGCTCTATTCGTACCGGGTGGCCCCCTAAGTGGCTTGCGACACTAGGAGGGGTTTTCACGCCATCCACTTATGTCACTTATGTCCTTGGATGTCTGATGTTTTCACAGCATCCTTTGGAGTGTTGAAACCTATGGCCCGGTTTATGGGTTTGCCCAGCCCCAGTTTTCCGGTCTCAGGAGTTTAAAGGACATGCAGATTTCAAGGTTATATGGTCAGAGCAGTTGGTAGCAGCAGATGGGAAGAAGCGCGAAATCAGCATGCTGCAGCTTGGAAAGTGAGCGCATGTAATTCAGTGGGTTTCAGATGGTGTGTGGCCGCTTAATTCCCCAGCAGGTCATGTTCCCCAGGAAGCTGACTTCAGAGGTGCCTTTTTCCGCTTGACTTCCAATCATTCCAATCTGCACTTCAGAAATATGGTTTTATCAATCTTTTTCATGCGCATATGGGTGAATATCCAAGACATCAATACCCTAGTGAATCACAAGCGCTGTCCGTGCTAGTATTGATGTTTAAGGTGATTTTGTGACACCCAATTGCCAATGTGCGTATATGAGCAATCAGTTTGGGCATAACCTACTGTACATGTAATTGTGTGTGTGCGTCCCAGCATCGGTCTACCTTCGCCTGATGAATTGGCCACGCTAGGCTGGAATGCTAACTTGAAGCCGTGGAAAACATGTCCAATCTTGCTGTGCAGATTATGTGCATTTCTGTGTTGGTTGCATTTGTGTGTTGGTGTATCCGTGCTGGCTGATGATTTTCAGAAACTTTTGTTTCATTCTCCATCACTATTTTCGGGGTTTGTTGGAAGAACCAACCAATCGATGCATAGCATGGTTTGCGTCTCCTCTTGATTTCAGTATTTCGGATGGAATGGTGTTTTTTCATGTTCAATCATTTTTGTGGGTCATATCCAACCAGCGACTCAGGTATGAATATCTGGATTCATCTGGCAAGTACATGCTGGGCGTGCAGGGTCACCCTGAGAAGCCCGACACCGATGAGAGCGTCCGACAGGAACTCTTTCAGCGGTTCTTTGCTCATGTGAGTAGCTGTCAGGACTAAATGTTTCTTGTTTTGGAGAACCTGAGGAATTTTTTTGGGGTCTAGATCTGCAGAAAGAGATGGTGATGATGGTGCCTGGTGTGAGAAGAATGGCCAACAAAGAGAGCACAAGTTGCACCACGAACTTCAGACAGCACTCAAGTGAGATTTTCAACAAGTAGGCTTGACCCGCAGGGTCTTTTTAAGGGAATCTCCCCATTGGGGACAGTCCATGAAATCATGGAATGACCCACTCAATAGTAGCCATGATCCAACCATGACGAGATATATTTCCTTTCACTTTACACATCTACCTGCTGGCTTTCGAACGACTTGTGCAACACCCCGCCAAATCCATTTGTTTTTAGCGCATCACGACCAGCTGAGAGACAGGCCTGAAACAGCGTGAAGGAACTGTTCCAATTGGCAAACAGTGCAAAGCATTTGAAACCAGCACCATTTGTGCAATCAGAGGCCGAGGATGGTTCCATGTGTTGACACCATGTGTAAATGCATTCATAATTAGTTGTGTTTATTTTCAAACATCTGCATAAGCTTAGGATGGGCCTTCCTGTTTCCAAGGAGTAATTACTGACAATGACCCAGGTACCAACTCATCATGAAGTGCATGGCCCATGGCAACCACAGGAATCCTACTTATGCCCATGGACTGTCCTCCAACAGATCTTCCATTCTTGCTGGAATGACTGAGGAAGTTGAGAACGATTGTGAATTGACCGGCCCACAAGCCTAGTGAATCCCGTGCCTTCTCAGGTGTCTGAGTTGTCAACCTTCGACCGATACTGTTGTTTTATACCATCGATGAGCGTCGGTGAAATACAGTTGAATTGTGAACCACTGACCCAAGCAGTTAGCATCCATTAGATCTTGGTGACAAGGCCAAGTTTTATAGTGGTGATTCAGCGGTGATCATTTCCCAGAATAAAACGCACCAACTGATGTCCCATAACTCCAAGATCATCCGTCAGTATCATAATACTTGGAGCAATCCACATTGAAAGACCGAATCCTTGAATCATTGATCCAACCAAACTTCCGGGTCTTCCGGCGACTCCTAGACGGCTGATGTCTCGGGACATTATCCTAGCGATTTCCAGCACAGCTCCCTCAAGGGGCAACTGTTGCAGACCTGGTGAACGGAAAGAAGGTAACAGGACGGATTAATTAGCCAACCTGCTGACTTCACCCAAGAAAAATGGCGCTCCACCGATCTTAATGAGTGTGCTCCAAGGTTTGAAAATTGACTCGGCATATCCACAACAAGGAGATACAGTGAACTACAACGCATGACATGAACCTACCATATAGCTGGCAACCATTCTTATGACAGCCTGGATCGGTGTTGGTACTCATAGATGGCAATGGCTTCGCTCTTCAGTGTTATAAGTTCAAAACGTACTTTACCCATACGCAAAGCGATTCCCAAGCACTTGCTGATTCTTGAGCCTGTATGCACGCATGCATCGGCAGAAACACAAGCTGCTGCACATCGAAGTTTCAAAAATATATGTGTTCATAGATGCGTATTCTACATGTAAGGGATGGAAGTATGCAAATACCATGCATAGTTTGTACAACAGTTCCTTTACGTAGCATGAACTATATAAGATGTGGAGTCTGAGGCCTGTTGCTATCTCACCCCCTTCCAAAGTTAATGGCTTGCTCAGGAGACCAAAATAGAGGTGCAGAAGGGGCGGAAGGTTACCAGGGATGAGTCGCCACCAAAATCTTTGGGGATTTCAGCCATCAAAAGTGGAGTTCACCCACGTAAGCTGGAGACTTCACAACAAATGCTTGGTGAATGAAATTGAATCAACAATCATGCAGCAAGAATGGGGAATTGAACCAAAGAAAATGCATTCAAGCAACAAACAAGGGTTTGCTCAACATGCAGATTTAAGCATCGATACGGCCCATACCTGGGCGGTCCCATTTTGTAATTTTCAATCCAAGAAGCTGGATCATGATCCAAATTGGCTTTCGTTTTGTTGGTGAGTTGAAACCAACCAGATGTAACTCCAGCGATGATACCATTGCAGCACTGGACCGCACCAGTTATCACTGTCACTGTCACAAGTTACAACTTCTAGCTGGGCAACATAACCCGCTAGGACCAATGTCCTGTGCTTTCATCGTAGTTTGTGAAACCCTATGTCCAATTGGTTGGATATGATATAGTCTGATATCGTATATAACTCAGTCTCTCTGGTTGAGTCCTGACAACTAATTCCAGTGTTGGTGACCGGATTCTTTCAGTCTGATGGCCCCTTACTCTGCACAATTGTTCCGCATTGGCAGAACGCATGTTCTGCGGAACCCGAAGCCTTTTTTCCCAGATTCCAACTGAAACATGCGGATTCAGACGCCTCTACGGACTAAGTGGGTACGTAGCCATCTCCATTCCGATTACTTCATCTGATTGCCATGATTCGTCCATGTGATATTGACGTCAGTAGGCACCTGATATAACCTTTTGAGATGTGCCTATATATATATATTTATTTATTTATTTAATTATATATATGTAATGTTGGAAGATTATCAAATATGAATATCAAAATATCCCCATGCGCGAAGCTTTCCCCAAAAGACTAGTGCAGCCAGGCGGTGCCCAAGAGACGCGTGCAGGACAAAACTCTGCGCAGTGCCTGGGTCGCAAAAGTCTGATTTGATTGGGTTTTAAGCACCCACAACCGGCTTTTCATGGGCGAATTTCAGGGTGAAACATGTTTCAATCTTGTGAGTAACGGCTTTTGCGCAGATGGACAATGAGAAAGACGAGACTTCGGGCGCAAATGCTACGTATATCTATATTAAAACAATGTATATATATATATATTGTGTACGTATGATAGTTTTTATGTTATATTTATATATGTATAGCCTTTTTAACACCAGAATTAGTTTCAAAACGAAGTAGGGTCTGCCCCGCCCTTTGCTGTAACTTCAAGCAACTTCCGTCGCTGATATTGGGATCGATCATGATCGTGATGAGTCCATCCCTTTCAGTACTTGATCACATGGGTTTCATACACAGAAAGGTTTTTTTGCCAGCAGAAAAAAATAGAGTCATCCTGCGTCATTTCTTTGCGTGTTCTTTTGGAAACTAATGAGGGACATTCCTCATAGTATGTTATGTAATCTGTTGCACGGGTCGGAAATTGTCAGCAAAATTCATGTCATATGTTTAGAGAACCAAGCATGAACAGTTAAATAGATGTGTTCGCACAGCGTCATATTTTTGCAGAACAAAGCAACAATAATCGAAGAAGGACTGAGCTTCAAGAACATATTTCATCATTAAAATCAATGGTGGATCCGCTCGAAACGTAGGAGTGATCAAGGAACCAAGTCCAGGAAGATCACTGGCAAATGGTGAAAAATGGGGGCCAAGGATGGCAACCTTTACTAGGCCGGTAATGGTTGATTGGTTATAGCCCTAATTTCTGCTGGTTATATATTAATACCCATGTATGTTGGTTGAATCGAACTATCAAGCAGCAAAGGATCGACAATTTCTACAAGTCAAGATTTGGGACTTTCTATCTAGTCCAGAATGGTTATATATATATATATATATATTTGTATATATCTATACTGTATATCTATACCGTATATCTTTTCAAAAAAATGTACATAAACTTGTACTGGTAGCAGTTTCATACCATTTCTTCAAACCCCACATGTCCGTGAGAATCCATTCAGCATGCAACAACCAAGGTCAGATGCCTGCCAGGACCAGCCCTAGGTACCTAGTTGGGTGTGTTTACTGAAGGTAGAGGAACCGTACCCCTACTTAGCCCTACTTTAACTGGGAAATCATCGTTTAAACGCTATGACGCGCTATATTTTGTTGGTTCCTTATTGCTTTCAGGCTCGAGGGCGATGCGTTAAATCTCAGCTAGATGACTTGATCAAACCCAAGGGCACCTGCTTCTGTATTAATCTCACTGTCTCACTTTGCACCTCCTCACAGCATCTCTCAGCATCTCACAGCATCTCACAGCCTTTAAGCTTTCAGGTGTTGTGGTTGTGCAAATTCTTCCTACTTAAGATATTGAACCTTTTTGATGTCTCATGTTTTGTCCAATGCTTTGTTGGTCACCACAACAATGAAGTTTCGCCCAGATGGTTTCGCCGCGTTCCTCCAGGACCAGCTGGTGGCAACAGCTGTCGCATACCGCACGGAGACTCTTTGCAGCTCGGCCACAGAATCCATGCTTTTTGCTGATGGGTCATCGAGTTACCTTTGGGGTTTCTGACCCACTATCACCCCCAAGTTGCAAATCCATCACAATCATCATGTATAACCCGATTACTTGCCAGCTAGCTAGATCCTGGTCCCTTAAATGATGATATGAGGAGGCAAATTGGTTGGGCTCGCTACGGCGTTTAGATGGGTTCATGTGAGCTTCCTTCTCTTTTTTGTTTTGCTGCCAAAAAAAGAATTATTTTGAAATATGATTTATGGGGACCAAAAATTGGCAATGTCCCCGGCGCTTCATGTAAATTAGGAGCGATGTTTCAAGATTAGGAGCGATGTTTCAAGCAAGATGGGTGGCATTCTGGATAGACACTTTACATATGTATCACATATATTTCATACATTTAAATATTTACAAACCTACAAAGACCAAACGCCAATGTACAATCGGCTGGCCCGAAACTGTCTCAAACCGCTTTCTGTGAGGATAGAGACACTCTGGGGCTGCGAGCTTGTTGGGGCATAGCCTGTCTTTAGACAAGCGGCAAGCGCAGCAATTTGTGAGATAATCACTTGTGTTGATTCCATCCCCCATTTTGGGGTTAGTTAATGTTAGGAAAATGGAAAAATACATGATACATGCAACACCTGTTTATATAATGTTATACAATGTTATACATATATATAAATATGTATATATATATATGTGATCATATATGTGTGTGTATGCCCAGTATTGCTGGCCGCATCCCAAAACGTTGTCACAGATGGAAGTGTCCCACGATATCATGGAGCAGATGCGTTTTCGAGGCTGTGAGTGTACAGGGCAGCAAGCGGCCAGAGTCCTTCAATTGATGGCAATTTTACCAGCACATACTTAATTTAATGAACTCTAATAATAATTTATAGTAGTACCAGTAGTACCGCACAAGGCGGTGGCGGAAGTTTCAAAAATAGGAAACCTATAGGAGAGGTTGGTTGTTGTGAATCAGGGATGGCAGAGCGAAGCCACTGATGGACTGAAAGGTGCTTGATCTCTCTCTCTCTCTCTCTTTTTTCTCTTTCTCATTTTTGCTCTCTGTTTCTCTATCTTTCTCTGATTATTACCTACCTACCTACCTACCTACTGATCTATCTGTCTATCTATCTCTCTGTCTGTCTATCTATCTCCCTATCTATCTATCTACCTACCTATCTATCTAGCTGTCTAGTTTTCTAGCTATTTGTCTATCTATCTATCTATCCATCCATCCATCTATCTATCTATCTATCTATTCATTTTTCCTATTTATCTATCAATCTGTCTACCTATCTATTTATCTATCCATCTATCGCTCTTTCTTTCTACTTATCTATCTATCTATCTATCTATCAATCGATCTATCTATCTATCTATCTGTCTATTTATCTAGCTCTCTCTCTCTCTCTATCTATTTGTCGGCCTGTCTATCTGTCTATCTGTCCATCTATCTATCTATCTATCTATCTATCTAACTGTTTGTCTATCCATCTATCTATCTATCTGTCTATCTATCTATCTATCTATCTATCTCTCTATCTATCTATCTTTCTTTCTTTCTATCTATCTATCTATCTATCTATCTAGCTGTCTATCTATCTATCGATCTATCTATCTATCTAGCTGTCTATCTATCTATCTATCGATCTATCTATCTATCTATCAAGCTAGGTGTCTATCTGTCTGTCTGTCTGTCTGCCTGTCTGTCTGTCTGTCTGTCTGTCTGTCTATCTGGCTATCTTTCTATCTGTCTATCTGTCTACCTGTCTATCTGTCCAACCACCTCTCTATCTATCTGTCTATCTCTCCAACTATCTATCGATAAAACTGTCTCTCTATCTATCTGCCTATCTGTCTATCTGTCTATCTGTCTGTCTATGTATCCATCTATCGATTTTTCTATCTATCTTGGTATCTAACTATCTGTCTATAAACCTATGTATCTGTCTGTCTATCTATCCATCTATCTATCTGTCTATCTATCTATCTATTTATCTAGCTCTCTCTCTCTCTCTCTCACTATCTATTTGTCTGTCTGTCTATCTGTCTATCTGTCCATCTATCTGTCAATCTGTCCATCTTTCTATCTGTCTATCTGTCCATCTATCTGTCTATCTATCTATCTGTCTGTCTATCTTTCTATCTATCTACCTATCGATCTATCTATCTATCTATCTCTCTGTCGATGTAACTATCTATCTATCTATCGATCTATCGATCTATCTATTTATCTATCTATCTTTCTATCTATCTATCTATCTATCTATCTAGCTGTCTATCTAGCTGTCTATCTATCTATCTATCTATCTATCTATCTGTCTATCTATCTCTGTCTGTCTGTCTGTCTGTCTGTCTGCCAGATTGAAAACGAAGCTCTTCTGCTTCCTCTTTTTTCGAACTTAACAACATCAAAAACAAATCAATTCTGCGACACTTCTTTATTGTTTCAACCTAACAACGTCCAAAACCGCGGCAATTCTGCGAGACTTCCTCGACGTTTGCTTTTAACAACGTCAAAAACAAAGCCATTCTGCGAGACTTCCTTCAAAAATGGAAAGTTGAGTGCAGCGCTGGGAGCCTCGTACCAATGCGTTTTGCGATTTTTCCACCCCACCTGTGTAAAGTACTGCGCCTGTCACGAAAAATTGATGCCAGGTCATACGAAGTGCTGCACCTGTCACGCAAAATCATCTCAGCAAACCTGAAGATCTGATACTTCAAAATGCAACCCTTCTCAGGAAATGAGCGCCCTGACCTCCGAACATCTCTGATGAACATGTCTTTTGTACGGCACCTGCCACGCAAAATGCATCTTTGAAGATCCTCTTCAAATGCCCCACGCCTGCCGTCGTTTCTGGAAATGCCGCAAAACCCTCACGTTGCCATCGTTTCTGCGAAATTTGCTCACTTTTGACAAGGTGGACATTCTTTGCGCCTGCCACGCAAAACGACATCTGACCTCCAAAAGTGGCGCGAACATGTAGTGCTTTGTACATTTTCACTTCGAAATGTGCTTCGCGCCACAACGGCGTGCACTTTTTCGATATCTCAACTGCCAAAAGTGGTCCGGACCTGGTGTGTTTTGTACATTTTGACTTCGAAATGTGCTTCGCGCCACAACGGCGTGCACTTTTTCGACATCGCAACTTCCAAAAGTGGTCCGCCGAGAATGGTGTGTTTTGTACATTTCGAAATGTGCTTCGCGCCACAACGGCGTGCACTTTTTCGAAGGTGCTCCGAGACCCAGGTGTTTTGTACCTTTTCACTTCAAAATCTGCTTCGCGCCACAACGGCGTGCAACTTTTCATTTCTCATCTCCCCAGATGCCTCCGCACCCGCTGCTTTAGCGAGCCTACTTTTCCACCCTCCGGAGCCACAAAACATCGCAAAAACACAGCGTGTCGCGACTTTCCTACCTTTTCGCACACCTGCATCTTCTTTCTTCTGATCTTTTCTCTTCTGACTTTTCTCCCCTCTGACTCTGCTCCTGTCTGGCTCTTCGCACCTCTGCTTTTTCATCTGTCCATATTGTCGGAAGTTTAACTTCTAAACTTCCTTCGGTTAATCATAGCAATATTATAGCGGTATAACTTGAGTAATTAATAATTAAGCGTCAAACATGGGGGTCTTCAAAATAAGACGTGAGGATTCAGCCAGTAGATGAAGTCAACCAGCCAAAATTTGAGATCAACCAACACAAAGGCAGATGTAACTTGCAACAATATTGGACTCGATTCGATAAACACGATCGGCTCGCGTAAAAAAATGGTGGGTTGATGGGGGTTGAAACACCCGAAATGGGTTTTTAACTGAGCCATGGTTGCTTGTCAGGGACTCGGTGTCCACAATGATGGTTGGGGATCTAAACTTGCTACACCCCAAATTTAGCACTGCCCGTTTGCATGCACATGCCTAGCGAAAAAAGGGGGCACTAGGGTTTTGACCCGTATTGCTATTGCTTGGAAAACCACGGAGATGAATGTGGTAGACACACACACACCACAACAACAACAACAACAACAACGCCTTAATGGCAAAAACTGGTTGGAACTGTGGAAACTAAGGATTGTTTTCTAACATAAGCTCCATTTTGCCGTACTGACTGCCTAGCGATTGCCAACAAGTCTGTTTCGGCCAGGGTACCGCTGTGTTTTTTTCGTGGGCTTTAAACTATACGTCTTTATACAACTTGGGAATATCATTGCAAGTGCTGGCACATCGGGCAGCCTTACAGGATACCATGTTGGAATATGTTGGAACTTGACATGTTTCCAATATGTTGCACTTTTGTTCCGATGTTCGGCTTATGTGCTGTGAAGATAGGATCGGTCAATGTGTTTTCATGTTTTTGTCCGTCCAGCCCAGGATGATAAATTTGAATAACCTATTTTTGTGAGGCCACTGGTTTGCACAAGTTTGACAGGGTTCCCAAATGTTGATGAAGCGGGTTGTCTGGTCAGACCCACATTGGCTTGCTATACACAAGCCAAATCACCATTGTAAAGTTTGAGGTGTTCAATCCATTTGTCACATCAAAATCGGCCATTCCCGAACGGTGTCTTCGAAGGTGCTTTTTCACATGCTTCCCATCGACATTTTCAGATATTTCGGTCTCTAATCACCAAGGACCGATTTCTGTGCAAAAGGTGATGCCTTACTATATAATTATACTGTATCAACATCCCTAGCTGGCACAGGCGTGAGATTGCCCGGCGCAGCCAACATCTCAGAGAACAGCCCAACGCATCTCCTCTGAGGTCAATCCCCAAACCTATTTTACCTTCTGGTAAACAAACACGAGAATGGTAAACCCTTTTTTGGGAATAGGTTTCTTGTTAAAATTCTACCATGTTGCATTGCCATACGGGTCTGGATCAATATTCCAACCCCTCGGAACCACAGAGTTCAGTACAGTATTTTATATTGTTGCTATATCCCCAGTTGGGGGGATGTGTCAATTTGAGCCTACATGCGTTGCTGTTGCGCCACCCCGCTTTGTCAGTTCATGTTGGTTGACAATTATAATACACTGATGTGTATACCCATTCTATGGCTGATACATTTTGATTCACCTTCCACACGTTATCAAAGATTGTGTCCTCAGGATTCCCACTATACCCACAATTGTCATTTCATGCGTAAAGCAATGCATACATTCATACATGCATACATGGACTAAGTTTATTAAGTTATATTAAATACATGTGTATATGATTATATAGCTATATTTCGATCCATACTCATCTTGACATACCATTCCCATCCTATCAATTGCTTTCTGAGTTGGCCTTCCTCAACGTGGTCCCTCCGCTCACCATCTTGGTGAACTCTGTGGCTGGATAAAACATCGGAGTGGCCCTGGGTGGATCATTGGAGAATTCCAAGAATCCAAATTCTGGAATATTCTGGAAATATGATCATATAGTATGATCATATATTCTGGAAGTATGTGCTCTGTCTTGGAGTAGATGGGATACACAGTATATAGCGTCGGATGGGTTGATCCCTCCCAAGAAAATGACACGGAAAGTGGGATATTCTATGTTCTCCAGGATGAACGCATGTGCTTTTACCAATGCATACATGGAATCCAAACAGTTTCTATTCTGGAGGACCGATATTAGCAGCAGTAGAAATAACGCCGTTGTTTCACTTGAAGGGCCCACAATAATCAACAGATGATTTGCACGGTGCAAAATGGGAATACCTAGATGCGCATGGATTCTCTACATTAGTTACTGTAAGTGTCCCGCAGCTGGGATAGAACTCCCTTTTTGACTGTGACAGGCATGACAAGCTTTGACCCCAACGGCAGTCATGGCTATGTGGAAACGTAAGGTAGCTGCTAGCTCCTCAGGGTCATTTTCAAATCGACCACTTTGAACAGACGGTTTCAGGGGGTCAGATATGGAACCCCGTTTATGTGACTGTGAGCCAATGATAGATTGTACAAGTCATGAGGCTATCCAATTTAAACGTCGCTCTTTGTGAAGCTGTATCGCCACCAATTTTCCAGTCACCAAATCAATGACCCACTCAGGTTGGCCAAAGACCGGGTTCTCCCAGAGTTGTTAGAGAACTTGGGTCACATGCCCATACTAGGACACTTATTATAACCCTGCCATATGGCTGTGAGCAAGCTTGGGTATGAGGTATGCGGTCGAAACTTGGATCTTGCCCATGTTTCCACATGTTTTGTTTCAAACAATTTAATCCCTTCCCCCTATGACTAAAACCCCCCCAAATAGTAAAAACTAGGGTCCATCTCCAATTTTGGAAATTTTGAGGTTGGCCAATTTGAGTTTTATCTCATTGATCCCCTTTAGAAAGCAATTTAAAAATTAAGGTCTCATTTTAAGGTTTCACCCCCTAATAATAAAGACTGGTTAACCCCGGGGTGTTTATTATTGTGGGGGTTAGTATTTGGGGGCAAAGGATTAATTTTCTCATTTGTGCAATTCGCAATTCTGAACCACTCACGTCACTGGTGCCCATTGCGCAAACCTCCGAGGTGGTCATTGGTATGCAGAGCGATATTGCACCGGACAGTGTGATCTGGGATATTTTCGAGACCCTTGTCATCATGTGCTGTGGATGAAGATAATGATGATGATGACCATGATGATGATGATGAAGAAAATGGAAATGAAGATGAAGACTAAGATGAAGATGAAGACGAAGATGAAGATGAAGACGCAGACGAAGATGAAGATGAAGATCATGAGGATGAGGATGAATATGAAGATGAAAACCAAGATCAAGATCATAATGAGGATGAGGAAGATGATGATCATCATCGCCACCACCATCATCATCATCGTCGTCGTCGTCATTATCATCAACGATGTGTTTTTTATGTGTGGTTTTCGTCCTGCTCGCAATGACTTTTGATTTCTTCTGGTAGAAACCTACCATGCTTTCAGAGTGGCCCCGCTGCTGAGGTGCAGCTAAGCAGCTAGGAACATGGACAACATCCCCCAGCAAAGACCAGGAGAATAGACATTCTACGTTAAAGAAGAACTGTCACTAACATCAACAAGTGCTTGTTTTTTAAATGTGGAAGTCGTGCCAATGTCATATTATGGTCTTGATTGAAAGTCTGTGTAGCCAAGGAATTTGTCCAGCAAAAAATCCACTACTTACCATCCCGGTGCACTATGGTTTTCTTGCCCGATCTGGATGACCGCACTGTCATTAGTTGAAAGAGCATCATTATCATGGTCCCGATACTACCAGTACTAGATAATCATTTGATTCCATATCTAATACAGGTGGAGCCCAATAAATGCTGCAATTGTTGGGTAGGGCTTGCAACGACTTACTCGTACAATACATCCCAAATCATCCCAACATAGCCCCACAGGATGGTTTGGCGCTCTGCTCGCTGAGGATTGCGTTCATCACCGTCTACTCCTTGGAATTCGTTCCTCAGCGATGGCCCGGGACGGCGTCCAGAAGTAGGAAGTGGCAAAGAAAGACAGATGCGACAACAAACATGGGAATTTATGACTAGTTTTGACTATATATCCAGTCCATGTGGTCTATGCATATGTAAATGTACATACATATGCAATCATATGCATACATATATCCAGCATATACTCGTACTTGGAGGTTGTGATCAATTATGCTGGCTATGCCTCCGGCAAATCTGATTTTCATGTGGGAAAAGTCCAGTTCTCTATCACCAAATAAGCTCATGGGTCGAAGTTGGGGCCCTGCCAACACACGAATGATCGTTTTGGGTAGAAAGCCTTGCAAATTTAGGGCATCAGTGAGATTGAACCAAAGCCATATATATATATAAATATCTATATCTGTATCTATACGTTCTTACTGAACTGGACACCCTTGTATCCGTTTTGTACCGCGGTAGTGTTGGGATGCGAGTATATCAATACTGAGCGGGTTCAAAGATTTGTTGTTTCTCATCCATTCTGAAAAGTATCTTTGTTTTGGATGTGGTAAAGCCCACAGATTCGAAGGAGCACCGAAACAAGTCCCAGCTAACTTCAACCCAGATACCCCTCGGGATTGAACCCAAGGTTTGGGTGGTCACATCGTATCAATGCATCCCAGCCTGGTCTGCTGTTTGTCAAGGTTTTGAAGTTGCGAATCTTCGGTTGCAAAGGCTATTTTTGTGGCAAGGCCCCGCGCTCTTCGATCCCGGTGAATTCTAAAGCAACGAAATGGCTGGCTGGTGAGATGTTATAGTATGATATAGGTTGTTTTAGTACATCTCAATGAATGGATATAAATGGTTCAAACTTGGATTTTGTATTTTCCCGTGCGACTCTTGCGGTACAGGGGTGAATGATCCAGTTGAAAAAATGATAAACCAAAAGTTCTAAGCGTATATACGGTTTTTGTGAGGCACAAAACTGTAGGCTTTTATCCATCTGCATGTTGGAGTTTGTTGCTTCCTCTTAGGATTTCTTTGATTTCCGGCACGGTGATCTTGAATGTGTACCTGTGGTAGAATTGGCTAGCTCCTCAATACATTTTCGTAAACATGGCTGTATAGTTTTGACCTGCTGGGGCAAGGGGTATGAAGCCTGCTTGTAGTAAAGCATCCAAGGATACAGTGAAGAATGACTGATCTAGGTTGCAGTATTCTGGGACCACAGGATGCTCCAGACCCAATTCTGTTGCATGCAGGGGTGCTTGACACCCCAAAGGCAATACTAATACCGACTAATACTCAAACATACCCAAAATGACCCATCCCTTAAAAAAATATTCCAGGGTATCAACTAGGTTATGGAATATTTTGTTTGGAATAATTTTCCTGGAATAATTTCTTCAAGGGGTAGGTATACGATTATGCATGTTGGAACCTTGAAAATCATGATCCCCCCCAACATACCCCGGAATAATTAGGTGTTGGAAAAAAATCTATAACCTAAAACATCTTAATACATCTCGAAACAGCCTAAACGTTCCTATACCTTGCCTGGCCCTTCCAAAAGCTATTCCTAGCTTCGCGGTGTTTGCCTGAAAGCCTTTCGCAGGAAATGCAAATTGCAGTTGCTTGAGGCATCATGCAGTTTGGGCAATTGCTGCCAACCTTTTTTTTGGCAGCATACCTGCAAGCACAACTAGTGTCCAACGGACCACCTTTCTCTCACGGTACTTTCTCAAGAGTTTTGGATGGCAATGAAGGGAATATGGAAGAAATAGGGGAAGCCGCAAGGCTAGGAAAATGTCTAGGAGAGGGCCAGGTTGAGTGCCATTTTGTGGGCTTTCCCCAGGGGAGAAATTATTCTAGGGGTATTGGAGATGCCTGGCACCCCTCAAAAACCCAAGTGGGCAGCTGCTACAATCACAAAACTAGTTCAGAAATTTGCGAAAAAAAAAACGTGAAAACCAAACATGTTTCTTTTCCCACTCGTTCCCACTAGGGCCACAACCACCAAACTAGCCCAGAAACGGGAAAAACATCCAAAACCAATGAAAACCATGTTCAACCAGTGGGTTGCTGAGAAGGCAATAATTTGAAGATATATGCTGGCCCAACTCTGCAAGGACGGAAACCTTTTTCGGCCGTTTGCCCACAGCTGCTTACGATTGCTTTCGTTTTGCTAGGAAAAAAACTATAGGGGTATCAGCGGGCATCATTTTGTCAAAAATCATTCCAAAATCCCATATATCTCATTGAGTTCTTGGAATAATTTATTTTTTTGAAGTCAAGCTATGCCGGAAAATACATTATTATTCTGAGGTATGTTGACGGGGTATACCCTTAAGGCATCCAACATTACCCAAACATACCCGTAACTTATAGTAGCACCCCTGCACTTTAAGCTGCAAACCTTTCGACGGTCCTTGCTCCTGTCCAGGAAGCAGGATGGAACTGGTTTGACTTTACATGCCTCCTGTTGTCATACGTGCCTTGCCTGAAATGTCTATGGTGGAGCGCATGACTCTCAAATCACTCATCTAGTTTGCGAATTTGGCTCAGTGCCAATTTCAGTTTGAACACCCCAACAAAAAACAACATGTTCCAAAACAATTGGTTTCTTCGTGTAACTATCTTTGGGATCCTACAATCAGGGTTTACCTTTGTGTACAATACCCGGCCTTCAGAAGATGACATGACCTAAAGCATGTGCATTGTGCATTTACTTGTGGCGGAGTACTGTTCCCTTTCCCGACAGGGCCGTGCTGGTGGATGTTGAATGGTTGACTGTTCCCGTGAAAATCATAGATAATCAGAGACAAAATTCTTACCGAGTGGTACGGTAGAAATAGAGATTCTGTACAGGGCCGGAGCCCGCAGGACCCTTCTTCCTGACAGATCCAATAGCAGTTTAGCATAGTTTAACCATCCAAAGCGGATGATGCGCGATTGTGGTGGACCAACAAGCTATATGGCCAACAAATGCCAACAATATCTTGCCGTTGCGAGGTTGACATTGCAGTCTACTATGCCGTTGTTTTGGTTCTGCGCCGCAACGGGCAGACAGACTTGTGGCTAGGCAGCTTATAGCAGGCGTGCTGCTGAATGTGAGATGAGATGGCCTCAATTTCTTGGAGCATAATAAATTGGAATGGAAAAAACTGTAGAACTAAAGTTCCAAATCCTCCCAAGACCGAAATCTCCGAGTTGGTGACTATTTTTTGGTTCATAGCCATGCAGCCTGCAGACACGTGGGATATCACTTATGATATCACCAAATATCACCTATACAAGAGGGAAACCACTTTCATGGATCTGCCTCCCATTTGCCCCCTATTCGATACCTGGATGATCTTCCCAGGACATTCACTGTCAACATATCCTCGGAACATAACTATAGTCCAAGATAGACCACAACATTCACCCATCGCCCCAGGCCGTTCAAATTTCCACTTTTACTAAATCGATCCAAAGCTGACCAGTTGAACTCAGTTGGTATCATTCCACTACCTGGATATCCTAAGACGCCCAGGTCTTCGTTGATGTTGATCAAAATCTTCCGGCTCTCGCGCTTGATCCGGCTGGTGCGCCTGGTGCGCCACAAGCTCTTCCACGAGCTCAAGGCGGCACTGGCTTGCGGATGTCGAAGTACCAGGTTTCCATACGTGATTGCTAGGACACCGAAAACATTTGAAAGGCATGGGCGCTTGTGCGAGATTAAAAGAAATCCATGCTGCTATTAACAAGCGTCCTAATATCAACAATTCAAACTATGTTTCCTCGCATGACTCAAAAAGTCTGACCCCAAAAAGAACAGATTTTTCGGATCCCAACCATTACTCAAAGCCATGCAATGGTGAACATAGGGCCCCCCAGAGGCGACCAGCCATTTGTGGCTTCGCCATTGCAGGTGATGCTCTTTGGCCTGTGGGCAGGGATTCGCGTGCTAGGACCTTGCAGCTGGGAGCGTTTTTGGGACCGGGATTGCCAGCTGGAAGATCTATGGGATGTTGATGAAAGCTGGACTGAATTGGTGTACCTCTCGGGTTTATCCTGCTTTAATTTCAGACTTGGGCGATTTGGGATGTAACATGTTTCCATCACAAAGACTACCCATTCAAAGTTGCGGCCATTGGCTCTCACAGGATGGGCAATCATTTTGCTTTTTGCAACTGGGCACGCAGTTTTTGGCAACCTGGGTTTGAGTGTCCACTGTCAAGTTCAAGCATGCAAATCCCAACAGCAGTGTTCTCCTCAAACAATAGGAAAAGCGGATTCATTTGGACCTGTCTTCAAAGCCCCATTAGTAAAATCGTTTTCAAAATTTGGGGGGCTGGTTTCAATAAACTATTGTAAAGCAAAGACCCGGTGTAATAATATCTTATACTGTATAAGATTCTACAAATATATACATATATATTGTACATTTACATATGTATATATATGTGTGTGTATGTATATATATGTGTATGTAAATATGTATATATATATATGTATATATATGTGTGTATATATATATATGTAAATATATATATATATGTATATATATATATGTATATATATTTATGTATATATATATGTATATATATCTCTGTATGTATATATATATGTATATATATGTATATATATATACATATATATATATATATATTTATATGTATATATATATATATGTATATATATATGTGTTTATATATGTATATATATATGTGTGTATATATATGCTCGCAAACCCTATGTCTCGCCGTTGCCCGAAACGGCTAGAAAGTGATGGTTTTTGTTAACTTTTCGATTTTCTTCACCTTTGTATTTTTTTCAAAAACCTGTCCCGCAGGAACACATAAGGAAACTGTTTCATCATCTCACTGGAGCCTCTGAAGGCGTGCAGCTTTGAAGGCGTCACTAGGTGACACTCTGATAAGGCCAGCGGCGCATTCCTTTCTGCACAGCCGAATGGAATCCAAAACTTGTTGGAGACCTGGTTTTCGATGCAACGCGGCTATTGCAAGGACCTGAACATTTATCTGTTGTTTTGCATGTATTGCGTCCAAGGGAGTTCTGGCGACGCATCAATGCAGCCAAGAACCTGCTAACATACATACAAGACAGTCAACAGCGTAGCATCAACAGCGTGTTAACAAAAACATAGGAAAGTCAACAGTGTACCATCAACAGCGTTTTAACACAAGAAAGTCAACAGCGTACCGTCAACAGCGTGTTGACGAAAAAAATAAGAAAGTCAACAGTGTACGTCAACAGCGTACCATCAACAGCGCGTTAACGTAAACATAAGAAAGCCAACAGCGTACCATCAACAGCGTGTTAACATAAACATAAGAAAGTCAACAGCGTACCATCAACAGCGCGTTAACACAAACAAAAGAAAACCAACAGCATAACATCAAGAATGTTAAGGGCGTAGCATGAAAAGTGGCTCACAAGAGGCTTGAGTAGTGAAAATTATCATAGAAATTTAAAAGTGCAACATGATAGGTGCGGTGAGAACGTTATTATCGCCCCACCCCACCCCCCACCCACCCCGAACCCACCCCAACACATAAAAACAAAACATAAAAATTCGCACTTTCAACACATCAAAAAAAAACGAGAATCCCGCGCGCCTGCCAGCGAAAATGAAAATGGGTTTTGTCATAACCATCGCCAAACACTGCGCCACTACGCAAAATGCACGTGCTCAAATTCATTGGTGGCCGCAGGATAAAATGCATTTTTCGGAGCGAAAATAGAGAACAGAAAGCGTTTCGCCTGCACGAAATGCAAATTTCGAAAGTGACATATGACAATTTTAGCGACTGCGGGACACAGGGTTTGCGAGTATTTATATATATATATGTATAATATATAATATATATATAAGTATAATCCTGGGTATGTTTCTTGGAAAGGTCTCGTGCAAACCTTCTGATTTGCTTTTGATAGGGCATTCAGTCCACTCGCACAGGTTACATCGTGCTGCGATGTTGTCAGCTCAACGTTTCACGGTTTATTCCACATAGGGGGGTCAACAATCCCAGATGGTTTCCACGCCTAGTGTGCACTCCAGGCATTTGTTCTGCCAACCAAGCGAAGTAAAGATCTCCATTGCTATATAGATGTGTTTCCTACTTGAAATGGTGGATTCCATGGAGTTTCCTGGGCCAAGTTGTTCTCAGGGCCTCATATACACCTTCGGTGTGTTCTTGCGTAACATCATGGGAGCGGCTTGGCGAAGGGTACACGTTTCTCCACATGGGTGGGTACACACGGATGAAAATCCATGGCAAGGGTTGGTATAACGGGGATCACCAAGAAGCTTTAGAAGTAAATCGCTGAATTGGACTAATACATATATCATATTTACATATACATATATACAGTTTTATTGTATATATAATACTACTATTTAATTATACACCACACCTTTCAGGTTACTTTTCGGGGGGGTCATACCAAAATGTAAGATACATTTTTTGGGACCCCCCTTAAATGTAAAATTGGTCGCTGAATGCCCCCCAGGTGTTGTTTTTGTCGGGAGGGTCTTTTAAATACCTTCAAAATGTAAGCTTGCATTTTCAAGGCCCCCTTTGAAAACAAGTTGAAAAATGTAGCTACATTTTGGGCAATTCCCCCTTTAAACGCTGGTGGTTCTGAATGTCTTGTATAGACTGTTTTTCCCAAAGGCATCTCTGATGCTTGGGTTCTCGTTTAGTTTACTTTGCCGCGGGGGGAGCGACACTTCAGCGACGACAGGGTGGACGGACCGGAATCCGTGGGAAATAACTCGGGGAGAGCCTCGTCTGGAGGGAGGGACACGGAAGCGACGACAGGGTGGACGGACGGGAAGAAATAGCTTGGGGAGAGCTCCTTTGGGAGGGAGCGACACGGAAGCGACGACAGGGTGGACGGACGGGAAATGGTGGGAAATAGCTTCGGCAGAGTTCCGTTGTGAGGGAGCGACACGGAAGCGACGATAGGGTGGACGGATGGGAAACTGTGGGAAATAGCTTGGGGAGAGTTCCGTTGGGAGGGAGCGACACGGAAGCGACGATAGGGTGGACGGACTGGAAGCGGTGGGAAATAGCTTGGGGAGAGTTCCGTTGGCAGGGAGGAGGAAGCCAGACGGAAGCGTGGACACCGTTTACGGATGAGAAACCGTGGGAAAGCTGCGTTGGGAGGGGGCGAGACGGAAGCGTGGACATGGTGGACGGACACCGTGGGAAATAGCCTGGGGACAACTCCATTGGAAAGCAGCGAGACGGAAGCGTGGACATCAAGAACGGACAGGAAACTGTGGGAAATAGCGCTTGGGGAGAGCTCTGTTGGGAGGGCGCGAGACATACCGTGAGAAATAGCTCGGGGTGAGCTCTGTTGGGAGGGAGCGATATAGTGAGAATCTAGAGCTGTTGGCACGGGTTTTCAGGACAAATTCCATCAATGCGATTGTGCCGAAAAACTGTGCGCCCAAGACTTGTCAAGCGGTGTGCAAACACATCAAACACTGGGCGATGGGACATGCATAGCTTCGTTGGCAGGGAGCGACACTAAAAATGCGCAGCTGTTGGCACGGGTTTTTCAGGACAAATTTCATCAATACGATTGTTCCGAAAAACTGTGCGCCCAAGACCTGCCAAAGTTTCCAAGCCCTGGACCATGGGACATGCACAGCTTGGTTGGCAGGGAGCGAGACTAAAAGAGCAGCGCTGTTGGCACAGATTTTTCAGGACAAATTCCATCGACACGATTGTCCCGAAACTGGTGCCAAAGACTTCCCAAACGGTGTCTGAACGCTGGGCAAAGGGACATGCAGGACATGCATGGGAAAAAGTTCTTTGCTGGAGGGGTTCTCATTTTGCACGGCGTTCTGTCCGTCGATGTTTGGTTGTCGCTCCCTTTGCAGCGAAGCAAACTAAACGAGAACCCAAGCATAGGATATGCATCAGCGTGAACGGGGAAATAGCTTGGGAAGAGCTCCCTCCAAGCGGCACTGAAAATGCGGAGCTGTTGGCACGGGTTTTACACAGAGCAGCTTTGACACAGAGGAGCTTTACACAGAGGAGCTTTACACGGAGGATCTTTTACATAGAGAAGCTTGTACACAGTGAGGACTTTACACACAGTGTCTTTTCCACGGAGAGACTTTTACACAGAAAAGGTTTTACACACAGAAGCTTTTACACAGAGAAGCCTTTATACAGAGTAGTCTTGACACAGAGAAGCTTGCACACACAGAGGCTTTTACACAGAGAAGCCTTTTACACAGAGCAGCTTTTACACAGAGTAGCTTTTACACGGAAAAGCTTGTACACGCAGAGGCTTTGACACAGAGAATTCTTTACACAGAGGAGCTTTTACACAGAGAAGCTTGTACACACAGAGGAGCTTTTACACACAGACGCTTTTACACAAAGAAACTTTTATGCAGAGCAGCTTTTACACACAGAAACGTTTACACACAGAGGAGCTTTCCACACAGAAGCTTTTACACGGGAAAGCCTTTAGACAGAGAAGCTCTTACACAAAGAAGTTTTTACACAAAAAAGCCTTTACACAGAAACTTTTACGCACAGAAACTTTTACACACAGACGCGTTTACACAGGAGCGTTTACACGCGGATGCGTTTACAAACAGAAGCCTCCACGCGCAGAAGCTTTTACGCAGAGTAGCTTTTACACAGAGAATTTCTTACACAGAGAAGTCTTGACACAGACAAGCTTGTACACACAGAGGCTTTTACAGAGAGAAGTCTTTTACACAGACAAGCCTTTACTCAGAGGAGCTTTTACACAGAGGAGTCCTTCTTACACAAAGGAGATTGACACACAGAAGCTTTTACACACAGACGCGTTTATACACAGGAAGTTTTACACACAGAAGCGTTTATGGAGCACAGAAACTTTTACACAGAGCAGCTTTTACACACAGACGCTTTTAAACAAAAAAGCCTTTACACAGAGAAGTTTTACACAGGAAAGCTTTCACACACAGAAGCTTTTTCACAGAGAAACTTTTTTCACCGAGAAGCCTTAAACGTACACAGAGGAGCTTTTACGCACAGACTGGTTTGCACAGATAAATCCTTACACAAAGGAGTCTTTGCACACAAAGTTGTTACACACAAAAAGCGTTTACGCACAGAGGGGCTTTACACAGAAGCTTTTGAACACAGAAGTTTTTACACAAAAAGCCTTTACACAGAAACTTTGACACACAGACGCAATTACACAGAGGAGTCTTGACACAATGAGGACGCGTTTACACACAGAAGCCTTTACGCGCAGAAGCTTTTTTGCACAGAGTAGCTTTTACACAGAGAAGTCTTGACACACAGGAGCTTTTACGCAGAGAAGTCCTTACACAAAGGAGATTTACACACAGAAGCTTTTACACACAGACACGGTCACACACAGGAAGTTTTACACACAGAAAGCTTTCACACAAAAAAGACTTTACACAGAGAAGTTTTTACACACAGGAGCTTTTGCACAAGGAAACTTTTACGCAGGAAAGCTTTTACACGCAGAAGCTTTCACGCAAAGGCTTGTTACACAGAGAAGCCTTTACACAGATGAGCTTTTGCACGCAGAAGCCTTTTACGCACAGAACCTTTTGCACGAGTAGCTTTTGCACAGAGAAGTCTTACACAGAGAAGCTTTTACCCACAGACGCGTTTACACAGAGAAGTCTGAGGAGCTTTTACGCACAGACGCGTTTACGCAGAGAAGTCTTTACACAGAGGAGCTTTTGCACACAGAATCTTGTGCACACAGATGCGTTCACACACAGAAGGTTCTACAAACAGTCAACTTTACGGTGCACAGAACTTTTACATAGAGCAGCTTCTACACAGTGAAGCTTGTACACACAGGGGGGCTTTTATACACAGAAGCTTTTACACAAAGAATTTGTCATACACAGAAGCTTTTACACACAGAAACTTTTACACACAGAAGCTTTTGCGCACAGAAGCTTTTACACGAAAAAAGCCTTTACACAGAGGAGCTTTTACACACAGACGGGTTTACACAGAGGAGCCTTTACACACGGATGCGTTTACACAGGGAAGCAATTACACGCAGAAGCGTTTACACTTCACAGAGTAGTTTTTACACAGAGAAATCTTCACACAAAGAAGTTTTGACACAGAGAACCTTGCACACACGGAGGCTTTTACACAGAGAAGCCTTTTTCACAGAGGAGCTTTTACACAGAGGAGCTTTTACACAGAGGAGCTTTTACACAGAGGAGCTTTTACACAGAGGAACTTTTGCACAGAGAAGCTTGTACACTCAGAGGCTTTGACACAGAGAAGTCTTTTACACAGAGAAGATTTTACACACAGAAGCTTTTACACATAAAAAACCTTTACACAGATAAGTTTTTACCCACAGAAGCTTTTACATACAAAAGCTTTTACGCAAAGAAACTTTTACGCACAGAAACTTTTACACACAGGAGCTTTTACACACAGAACTTGTTTCACAAAAAAAAACTGTACACAGAGGAACTTTTACACAAAGAAACTTGTACGCACAGATGCGTTTACACACAGTAGCTGTTACGCATAGAAGCTTTTGCACAGAGTAGTCTTTAGCCATCCTTCATCATGTCTCATTTTTCATGATCATTCACCATCTGCCATCCTCATATCTTCATTTTCATGCTCTTTTCGTCAACTCCCTCCGTCGTTTAGTTTTCATTTCGCACGGTGTTCTGTCCGTCCACGCTTTGTCCTCGCTCCCCCTGCGGCGAAGCAAACTAAACGAGAACCCAGGAATAAATGGCGACTAGAAAGATGGGATAGGGTTAATTACATTAGCAGAAATATCGACTAGAAGAATGTAGACGTAGCTGACACAGCATGCTGTGGTGTATTGCGGCCCCTGATACCCCTGATACCATCAGTGCGCACGCTGTTTCAGTAAAGATCTTACGTCGATTTCATGCAGAGCACAGCTGCCCACACCACACGATTGGTAAAAAAAGGCGTGCTGCGTGCCGTCTTGCTTTTGGGTTCTCTGGCCCACCTTTTTTTAATTTGGTGGGAGGAATCCAACGGCACAATGGTAGGGTTAACACACACGGCGAAGCCTGAAAAGACCCTGTTAATCCTGTAAAAAAAACACCCGGAAATTTTGACCAGTGTGTTTTTGCTCCCAGCCCTCAGAGTTTCTCTGTCTCTATATATATATATATTATATATAATCATATTTATTTAGATATAAGTTTATATATTGATAAATTGATAGATATTTATAGATATTTAAATATGTTTATATATATTGATATTTACATATATACAATTATATACATAACTATATTTATTGATTTATATATATATATGTATTTTTATATTTATTTATGTTTATATATAGCTATACCTATTTATAATTAGATATATTTATATAATTATATTTGTTTATATATAGTTATATTTATTTAAGTAAATTTACATATGTATATATATATATATATAGTTATATTTATTTGTATGTATTTATTTATATTTATATTTATATATAGTAATATAGTTGCTATAACCAATTGACTGGGCCCTCTTGATGGAAACCGCTTCAATCTCCAAGGAAAGTTTTAAGGAATTGGAAACCGTGCCGGACGCGATGTTTACATTGTGCCTTGGCGTTATCAACATGTGGCGTTTTCGGAGATGACTTCCACTAACCAAAATAGAGATTGGAGTTTCTATGACTTACAAAATGACAATGGTTCATGGCTTCCATACCCAAGTATGCCTCCCTGTTTTGTACGCGTCAGTTAAAGAGTTTTATGGGTGACTGGGGGGTGCCCAACTTTTGGATAGAGCACCATGCGTGCAGTGTGGTAAACAAACAGAGCACTAGAAAATCCTCCATTTGCAGATGATGTTTTGCCAGTCCAGATGGTGATTTTTAATTGGCAATGTTATATTTCCAGAGTTTTCAATTTATGTATGTTATATGATTTTCCCAGATCATTTTCTGTTAAACAAGGTTAGTACTGATGACCTATTACTGGTGGCATCTGTAGATTTCAGGGCACCACGGGCACCATCCACCTGACAATCGTTGGCTTAGGTTTAGGTGCTTCAGAGACGATTGTGCTGCCTACGATGGCACACCCTTTCCCGAACGTGTGAGTCCCTTGGCCAAAAACGGTTGGGATGTCCGGCGGCAGAAAATTTTTAGGGTGCGTCAAGAATCTGGAATTTCTGACTGCAGGAGATTTTGCACCTAGTTTAAAGAATGTAAGTATTGTTGGTTCACATATGTGGCGAGTTGATTGTTCTTCCCAAATATGGCCGCAGGAAATTTAAGGATTTGTATCAATGGTTCAGGTATGTTCAGGTGCCCAGGTCGCAAATATCAAAGGAAAATCCATCGTTTATACCTTGGTGTTCTATGCCACGATTTGACAATGTGATTCGGCGTGTACTGTGAATGTGGTTTCAAAGACTCAAGCCCTGGCAAGCGGGAAAACTTACAACTAGCCCATTGCGGGATGCTCTTCTGACCAGTATGTATATGTGCCTGTTATGTCTATGATATTTACCATCTGAGATCTATCATCTGACCATAAGATGTAAGGATGTAAGCTGTCAGACGCTTCCTTCACCGAGGAGAGACTTACGGTACCTCAGCAGCGAAAGATTTCGGCAACTTTCCAAGTCTCATGTGACCGTGGTGAGTGGTCTGTGGGACGGCGCGTGCCCCTAAAGCACAGATGTCAATTCCAAAGAATTTGCGGCAATTTGTGCAGGCATACAGCACATACAAATAAAAATTGTAGGGACTAATTTGCCACGTGGAGTTGCCACTCGACACATCGGATCATCGGAGAGTGTGTGCCTTCAGGCTCGATCACAAGATAGGCTACTTCCCCTTCGTCTGTTCTCATTGGAAACTGCACTTCGGCGTGTCTTCGTGTAAGTGTTTGATACTAAATAAATTTCAGGGCTTTAAAACTTCGGACTCGCCATCACCGCCATCGAACCAAGGCGGCATCTTCATGGTGAGTTTCTTGGTGTCTTCCAGCTGGGTTATCGCAGGGAAGTCTTTGGACAAAACGTGAGAAAACCCCTGAAGATCATCCACCTGAAGGCAGTTGCTGGTATGACATGGCCATGGCTGATGATCCGAGTTGATTTTGTTGAGTGCCTGTCATTGACTCTGATTCCATCAGACCTGTGCTTGTTGGATCAGTTAGAATCTTTGATAGAACCCCATTCTTGGGGACTGGACCACCATCCCTGCTTTCCTGAGGTTATATCTTGATGATCATGACTGTCTCTGTGGGCGTCTTCAATCTGATCATGGCCACCCGGAACCAGTTGAGAGGTCACTGAACCCACTGTTTGGATGCTACGGAGAGTGTGATACTGTATGACTCACAAAAAAGATTGAAAAAAAAAGAGAGCTTACACCACAGTTAGGGGAATATTCTGGGAGCTACAGCCAATAAGTAGTGGGGATGTAGAAACTTATGCCAACAAGAGTTGGCAGGTATTTGGGAATGAAAGTGGCGCAACATATGGGTGTGTCCAAGCCCTCTTGGACGGGGCAGGACTCCAAATCATGCTTTGCACCACTCCTTGAATGGACCTTGCTGGTGAGTTTGCAGGGCAGAGTGTGTGCACTTGCAAGTCCTATGATAAGTTTGTGATGACCGCCATTGCATGTTGGTGCCCGATTTTGCTGATTCCCGTTCTCTCATCTCATCATCACCTTATCATTTTGGAACGCGGTCATGTGGGCATGATGGAGAAACAGATGTATTCAGCACCTGTCAACATATACATGAATCTGGCGAAATCTGCCCCTGTTCCAATACCGCTACCACTCCAAGTTGCCCAGGCCATCTTCATCGACAATGTGCTGCTACTCAGAGAGAGAGCCCCCTACAACCGATGAGTGGAGCCTGTGGATCTGGGACAGTTTTCACCTTTTTGGCACTCCTGCCAAGCTGGCGAGAGAAACCCTATTCTCAAAAAGTGAATCATCTGGGATATCCACGGGTAGAGCTCAAATTCACACCAAAAAGCCTAAATATCGAGAAATCACACTTGCATTCAGTAGTGCAGGTTGGATCTTCAAGTGACAGGGGTCTTGGTCACCAAAATCATTCCCATTTTTCCGTTCGCTACTGTAACTCCACATGATGGCTATATCATGTTATATCATAGAATTATCATGGTTTGGTGTTGATTGATGTTGTATCCACAAAATGCTTAGTCCACCATGTTTAGATGGACCACCAGGCACCATGCCTGAGGTCACTGGATCTCAGTTGCAACGTCGCAATCGCGAACTGGCGGACTCCTCGGAAAAGGCCAGGGCCCAATGTGAAAGGTCTGATGAAAGCCCCGATGTTCGGTGGAGATGTGGCGAATTTGATCACCGCTACGCTTTTTGTTGCTTGAGACATTCTGGTGGGTGGGATACGTTCATGATTGTCCATGTTTGATTCGCTGAGACCCTGACTTGGTATAGTACCAAGTGATAAAGCTATGTTATCATATGTTTGTAAAGTTATTCCCCACTCCTTACTGATAGACGCCCCCCCACCACTGCAATGGTACCACTGCAATGGTCTCGCCACAGGTGAGGGTCATGATCAAAGAGCACGTGGCGAGGCGCGGGCAACGTCCGCTCCACGGGCAACAGACAGCCTTAAACACGACAAAAGGATATCCGCATTTTTGTTAATGATGCCTCGTAGCCGCTGGCATCATCCAATTACGTTCCTAATTTTGGGCGGAACGACCAATGAACCCGGCCACATGTTCGGACAATTTGCAGCCGCACATTTTGGAGGGCTTGGTAAAGGTTGGTAGGTATTTTTTCATGCTGTGACTGCCAAGCAGCAACCTTTTGGCACCTTTAGGATTCCTGCCCTTATCCCTAAAATTATGCTACTATCGCATCGTTTTCAGTCAGAAAACAGTTGATGTCCATATTCAGGTCATTTCACGTCATTGTTGCCTTGATACGCAACAGGCGGGCTCAATATTACATTCTATAATATGAATATGTATATATATATATACATTTACATGCATACATACATACATACATACATACATACACACATACATACATACATACATACATACATACATACATACATACATACATACATAAAAACATTCATACATACATACATACATACAAACATACATACATACATACATACATACACACATACATACGTACATACATACATACATACACACAAACATACATACATACATACATACATACATAAAAACATACATAAAAACATACATACATACATACATGCATGCATACATACATACATACATACAGACGTACACACAAACATACATACATACATACATACATACATACATACATGTATACATTTACATACATACATACATACATACAGACATACAGACATACAGACATACAGACATACAGACATACAGACATACAGACATATATATATATATACATACATATTATATATATATGTGCACACTATGTTATTGGGTGGTCGATTTAAGACACTGTCGAGCGCCATTCATTTTTTATATTGCAAAAAGACGTTCCAACGGGCCTCTCCTCGCACCCACCCCTGGCCACTTCAGGTTCTTGGGCAAAGACGTTCGGTCTCGGCGGACCTTTGTCACAGGCCACTTGGTTGCTGCTTTCATGTTTGCATTGGCTGCAATGAAGCTTTAGGAGAAAAATGTTAATCTGCGACATGCAGATGGATTTTGTTGCCCATGTTTCGCCAAATATGTATATATATATATATAACAGTTTTGTTCGATGTTTTGTGATCATCACGAAGGCCATGAACATTTTAGATTGTCTGAATTCTGGGCATGGCAATTTGTTTGGCAGTTCCCGCTTACTCTTTGCCAGGAATTCCCAAATTTGGTTGTGTTTTTGTGCTGGAGTCAGGATGGTCTGCAAACCGGTCAATCAGATTGATGCTTGAAATCAGAAGTTCTATCAGTTGTAGCATACTGGTACCTCCTATAAAGATATTAAGTTTACAAGTAGAACGGAATTTCTCAGAGCTGTCCGCCCCTGCTCACACAGGATGCCAATCTAAGGCGATTTGGATGTGCAACACAGCATCTTGGACGAGCAGCTCTTGAAAGACGAGGTTCCAATTGGGGCAACACTTGGCCACTTTGAGGTGGAGAAAAGCCACTTGTTTTTAAAGGCCTACGTAGTCAGAAAATGACCCCATAACAAATGCAACCACCAGGTTATTGCACAGATGACTGACTTGCCAGCAGATGGCCTTGGTGATGATTCCAACATCTATGTGACGGCTAAAAAGTGACCGCAAACATCAGACGCCCTTGGCCTTAATAACGCGTTCTGCATGAAAGTGATCGTACCGATGTTGGGTCATGTGTTGTCATGGATCTTGACAACCTTTATGGTGAAACATCATTTACATTCATGTACTTTGATCTGTCCAGGCAAGGAAACTCGAAGAAAACATCCTTGCAGGGTGAACCCCAACAATGTACTACCCAGTTTCACTACTACTCTGCTGGTGCAGGTGGTGATCCATCGCGAGTCCTTTCAACGCTGGTTGCAGGACAAGTCAGGGGCTGGCTCACTGGGTAATCATTCCAAAGTGCCAAAAATTGCATTGAAGTTGTTTTATTCCAGTTGGTCAAATAACTGTAGTTTACACAAGAGGTGTGAACATGTGTGAGCCATCACAGCACCAAAGGGCTCACAGCAGTTTGAAGAAAAACAACTGGCTTTGTCCCGAAATTGCTGACCCCGATCAACCCAAGTTGGAAGATAATTCCGATGACACGACAACCATTTCTTGGGGGAAAAATAGGTGGTCAATCGGTCAATGTTGGTTTGTGTCATGATAAGTTTTTAACAACTACACATGTCCTGGTGTCAACCGCACTAAATTAAAAGACTTTATCTGTCCTGTTTGGGAAAACACTGCATACGCATACTTATATATATATGTATATATATGGTCCAGCGTTCCAACCCGCCTCCCCCCCGGCCATGGTGATGGGTCAGCCATAGTACTGTCCCCCTCCCTCCATCGTGTGGTGGGGGTGTGGTATGGTATGTTGGGTATGTATGGTGTGTATGGTCGGTCTGGTATGGCATGTTTGGAATGTATGGTATGTTTGGTAGGTATGGTATGTATGGCATGAATGGTTGGTATTGTATAGATGGTAGGTATGGTATGTAAGTCTATTGGGTATGGTATGTTTGATATGACAGTATGTATGGTCTGTATGGTATGTATGGTTACTATGATGGGTATGGGATGTTTGCTATGTAAGGTAGGTATCGTATGTATGGCATGTATGTTTGGTATTGTATGTATGGTAGGTGTGGTAATTATGTTTCATATATATGGTATGTGTTGTGGTATGTATGATAGGTATGATAGGTATGGTATGTATGGTCAAAGTTCGTATGGTATGCAGGGTATGCATGATATCGTTGGAATGTATGGTAGGTACGGTATACGTTAAACACATGTAGTGTTGTGAGAGTACACAGGTAGTAAATAGGAAGTAGATACATGATACATAGCACATGTATATATGATATATATATATTTATTTATTCAGCTATATTCAAATATATGATTCATATATCTATTTAACTCTCTCTATGTTTTAAAGATAGTCCAGCTGGCTGAGATTGTCAAATTCGGCTTTGCAGGTCAGCTCCACTAAGCAGTGATGTTGGGGAAGCAATAGAGGTTGCTGCGATCCTACTTGTGCAAGAGGAAATTCAAGTAGTAAGCAGTATTCCGTCACGGTCCCTTTTGAGTGCCTAATGCTACCTGGCAACCTCAGAATTACCAAAACACAATCACTTAACAAATGCATGTGTTCTTAAGGTAGGAGTTCACGAGCCAAGGATTTCCCTTTTGAACGGACCTTTATTTATGCTGCATGATTGGCACACCCCAGTTCAAGAAAACCCCAAAGCCGTCTCTTGACGTCTGGGTACGGTTGTTTGACAATTGTTCGGTAAGGTTGCATATAATTACACCAACTGTTGGGGATTATTGCGCGACGGTTCTAGAAACCCCCATCTCGTCACCCGCAGCCCAAATCCCTTGCTGCAAATGAACCCGCAGGATCCTGAGTTCACGGAAGCGCCACTCAGCGATGAACACTCTTGGTCAAATGCTGGACTTTGGTGCGGATGTCCGAAAAGCTCCGAGACATCCTTGAAACTAGTTTTCAACTGAAAAGTGGGCATTGTACGTGGATCACCAAAGCTGCCCCACTAAAACACCAGAAAGAATCATGCAGGATCATGCGGGGACGTGTAGTTTTTAGAGTTGGGGTCTTGGGTGGGTCTGGCCATTTGTAGTAAGAAACGGGGTCCCTTTTGCGAACATGGTGGTTCGCATGCACATCTTCCAAGTCATCCGCACTACCCCATCATAAAGTCTCATTTTGACCGGCTGAATCAAGTTGTTGTGGGACGCCGGTTGACTTTATCCATCTCAAGTCAGTTCTTTTTGGTTTTGACCCTATCCGTCAACTGCTCCATGGTCTGTCCCGCCAAGTATGTGAGGCTGGAAGATGCGTACATCGACGTGTCAAACAAAGCTCATCTGTTTGACATCATGGATGTCCCTCGCAGAAATTTGGGGGACAAGGAGGATCATTGATCATCATGTGATCCCCTCTTAATTTATGGATGAAGCATGGTGAAAAGTTTCATGTTGGAAGTGGAAAACAGTTTCTTTGTATCGGGGCACTACTTTGTTGCCATGGAGACACATATCTCCTCTGCTGACTTAAAGCAGGAAAGATTGCAAAAGGACAATGGATAAAGCATTTTTTAATAGTGTTTTACCTGGATGAGATTGCCGGTAATTTGTGCGGGATTCCTTTCCATTTTTTTTGCTTTGTTTGAGGCTAAGCTAACTCGCACAGGGTCACTGCTTCAATCGCTCGGCCTGTTGGGCGGGTCTTCGCTGACACCTTTCCTTTTCGATGCAACTGTCTCTAAATCTTGCTGGATATAAAATTACGTATATCCTTTACACATCTTTACACTCTGTTTTTCTTGGTCACCATGATATTTTGGTCCTTGATGCATTGGGTATCATGGTGATGTCGATATTGGCCGTGAGTGCCTGGACAAGATTCTGCCATCATCTTCTGCCCCATCCAAACCTAGATGTTTTCAAGTGGGTCGCTAAAAGTTTCAAGGATGAATAAGTATTGCGTCATGTTAGTCATATCTATATATATACTTTCTCTTACGGAAATTATCAGAAATTGTCAACACCAACAAGGAATCACTAAGGGTGTTGCCATCTCTATTGGTTGCGTCCAAGCTCTTGTTGGTTCTCCCATCAGGACGTGTTGGGTATAGTCATTTTGGACTCAGTCAACCATGGTTATTGGATTAGATGTTATGCATTGTTATACCCAAAATAAATAACATCAACTAACCCCATTTGTACCCATCATTTCACCAATCATATCCAGCCATGACATATTTCAGGCAGATATGGGCGGACATTTGTCTTTAGATGAGTTAGTCGAGGGACTGATGGCCCTGCGAGGAAGCGTTGGGCTACTCAGGGCGGTGGGTTCTTTGCTGTAAGGGGGGAGATTATAGAATTTATAGCTGTTATATCTTAGATGAAACCCTAAGAACTATATCATTGTTTGAATCATTTTTGGAAGTTTAGATGATGGTTTTCTTGTTGGAAATATCCATGTTGACGTTCAATGCTGATTTTCAATCTATATGACCTGCCAAAGGTGTTGGTTGAAACCAACCCATGTCATTGAAATGGAGCCAATGCTGCTTGGTCAGGTGGCTATCCAGGTTCGTGTTTCCAATCAGAGGGGTCTAAAAAACCAAAACCGAGGTTGCATAGTCACATGGAAAAAGGCGGCATCAAAATTGCACATCGGTTCTGGGTACAACCAGCTTCCTGCTAATGGGAAGATTGGGATTATGGGCTACTATTGTACCATGGGATTGTTGGCGCTCAAGGTCATGTTGTTGCCTGCTTAGTCCAAACATTGCCCTGCACCCGTGCCATGCAGAGGCCACAGACCACAGCATTGCCCATGTATTGAAGTTGGTATATCTGCTGCATTTTTTTATGTTAAACTGTTAATCGTCTTTTCCACGTGCACTAAGGGTAAGTCTTCGGATTGCAGCCCTTGATGTTGATGTCAGTAATCCCAGTGACCTTTCATGTTTTACCCTCTGTTGCTCCCTCCGTTTCAGGGCATGATTGGTGATTTGACCGCCCAGGTCAATAAAGGTGACATCATCAACATGAGCCTGAAGCTCCTGGGACGAGACAATGCACGAAATGGTGAATGAATCGGGTTCAGTCCTGAAGCTAGGGCGCTTGGGCAAATGTGTGGGTTTACAAGTTATGATCATAAATTGGAAGCATGAATCTTCAGTTTTCCCAATTTACGCTGGTTTTTAAACGGATTATCTCCATCCTTTATCCCCCAATGGTGGTCGCCCCCTGCGAGGACTAGAAATAGGGTTGATTTGACCAAAGAGGATGGCTAGATTTTACCCAAGGTCAATGGCGCAATGGCGCAATGAATTTCAAATCCAAGAGGCCCTAATCTATGGTGGCCGTAAGCGTGCGTAGGGCAACCATGAACGTGTTTGGGGGCACCATGGGCCTTGAAGGGTGAATCCTGAAACCAAAACATCCGAATGCTAACCTCACAACCCCTAGATTTTATCCATTTAGATTTATACCCTAGTGGGTTAGACCCCAAAAACTTTTTCCTGGTGACTAGCTTTTATTGGCCCCTCCCACTGTTCAACGTAAATCAGCTTTGTGATATTGTGCTGATGCCTTGATATTGGTTGGTTTAACTGGTTTAACTTTACCCATCACTTTGCCGATTTGATCCCACTTCTGTTGTGTTGTCCCTGTCGTCTAGAATCTTCATGAAATTACCGTAATGCCCAGTCCTGCACGATGCCCTATAGTGAACGTAAACTTACCCTCTAGTGAACGTAAACTTAGAGTAATATAAACATCACTTAATAGTTGTTCACGAACAGAAAAATCTACGAATGAGGTGTTTTCTTGTGTCACGTTTCATTGTCAGAGGGTAATTCCCTTTTTTTGGGTGACACCGTGGTTATTTCTGAAATCCAATCACCCGAGGATTCGGCTCCTGACACGTCACGTGGACTCGGTCTTGAGCATTGTCCAGCACAGCTTAGATCCAGGCCCGGGGCAAGGCCATGCCCACGACAATATACGACAATTAGAAAGAAAATTCTAATTAGGAAATGGGATTTTGGGGCACCTCCCATTTTGAAACAAACCCAGTTGGGAAGGGAACACGAACATATCATATGTTTTATGTTGTCCAATGCGGAAATGTGCAGTTGAAAATGAGGGATTCCTTTTTGTACATGTTTGTTCTTGCACTTTGAGGGAAGAAATGTCCAGTGCAAAATCGAAAGATACTTCGAAACAGAACCGGAGATTTTCCGGGCCTACTGGGGCCTTTGGGACTAGGAGCCAGGTCCATCTGTTGCTGAGCTGATCGCATTGCTGCGCAAAGCTTGAATTTCATCCCATTGAAAAAATGGTCTCTCCACAAAAAACAATTTCTGTTGGGAACCAAAGACTTTTATCCACTCATCATCGATTGACACTTTGAATCGACAGGGAGTGGGGACAAGCGGATGCATTTTTAATTTATTGGTGAAATGAATGAGGCCAGGACCGTTTTTATGATCCTTCTTGGCTTGAGCTGCAAAGCCATGGCAACACCACTGGAAAGAGAGTTCGACAATTTTCAGATATGATGGGGCTATGCCCCAAGTGCAAGCCGATTGCCTTCCAGTAGATATATGGTGATGGGGAAAGGTAAGCATAGGTAAACCATGGAAAAGTATGTATGAATGGATATGAATGGATATGAATGGGTCATATTTGTTTGGGAAGTGAGATTTGCCGCCCCATCCACTCCATGGGATCACTGGGCTCCTCCATGCCAGATGGTGACCTGTGCAGCGAGGTTGGGCCTCAGCCCAATCAAATTTGGGGCGGTGATACGGTGTGGAAACCAGCAAGGGGATACAATAACACCGGCATCCAATCAAAGATCGGAAAAAAAAACGGTATGCGCCTGTGGGTTGTTCTACCCCAATTCCTACTCATCCCAAATAGCCCAGCAGTTGAACAGTAGATGCATTGGATTCAGGGTTTGGGTAGAGTACCTGCTATGAATGGAATTGGACTTGTATCATCTGTATATCCAACGACTGACCCTGCGAATCCTATCTGTATTGGTGTTGGTGTAATTAATTGGTTTGAAATGATAATGCTCTCACTGTCGGTTCATACCTTAGATCCTGGGATTCATTGCAATTTGATGGGCCTGGTCAGAGACCCCAAGATGGATCATGTCCATTCGCCAGTAGGGTAACACTGTCAGTGGGAGATGGACCATTGATTAACTAACACATGGAAACTTTGGAATAACATGAAATATGAAAAATGTGCAATGGTTAGTTAATCAATGGTCAAACACAGTGATTCATTTATCCTGTTGACATGTCTAGGACAAAGATCCTGCCGGATGATCACCATGCCACCTGAAGGGATATTGCCTCGATAGTTCCTTCGTCAGGTGGGAGGGTGTTGCTTTTGAAACCCAGATGGGTTTGGATCGTTGGGGCACCAATGAGCTCATTGATTTCGTTGTTTTCCGAAGACAAGGTCCAACTTCATCCTGGGGATGAGGGCTTTGAAATATTGGGCGACCTAGACAGGGAAGATGGACAGCATAAAAACACATGGGGAAGACTGAAGAGTATGGAAAGTGAGCAGCAATGATAAGTGCATAGACATGCGGATGTTGTTTTTTGGCCATAGGAGCAGTCAAATGTTGAGCTCTTAGAAACCAAAGTGAAGATCAGGAGCTAGTCCGCTTTGCTCTTGGGAAGACATTCATCAGGATACCAGGGCGGTAGAGTCATGCAAGATCCAACAAACCCAGTTGCCCAAGTGCTGCAGATTTTACGTGCAGGATCAAGCTGCAGTTGGTTCAACTTGTTCAGCTGCTCAAGGGATTAAGTAGCCGGATAGCTGCCCAAAAACCAACATGGACATCAAACTGTTTTGGAAATAAGCCGTTCCTTTGTTCCATCTAAAATTCCAGTGGTGTGCGAACTGCATGGCTGGAGCTGCAACTGCGGGAAGAAAGTGTGTGTTTGTTTTTCATGTATATAATTTATTGTTACCATTATTATTTTTATGATTATCTTTATTGTTTGTGTTTTTATATGTATATACGGTAGTCGATCTAAAGGTCCATGTAAGGAGTTTTAATTGCGAGTATTATAGTAAGTATCTATATATATATATTGTAGTAAGTATATATTATATATATATAGTAAGTATTTATAGTATAGTATACATAGTATAATATATGTATATAAACATCATAATTATACATCTTGTGTATATATTTATATATCCAGAAATTGGGGAACCCCGACTTCACCTTCCCTCTTTCCCTGTTGGTGGTTTCACTTGGTTTTCATGTTCCATCCCAACACATGGGATGATGATCCCCGACTGGTGTTCATCATTCTTGGATGCGCTGAAATCACTCGCTGTTCTCATCTGGGACTTCCCTGCGACTTTCTACATCCTTCCCTGATGTAGGTGTACTTCGAAGAGGATCCGACAGCTAGCAGTTGAAGCAGCTGGGCACAGGGCTGAAGCAAGCAACAGGCGAAATAGGAGGAACCAAGTATGTATCTATACATATATAATTATGTGTATATATATATACACACATACGTACAGCATGAAAATGGTTTCAGCCAACATGAAATGGGCGATAAAGTGCACACACAGTGTGTTGCAAACGACATATTTGATACAGCCAATAACGATGATTCAACAACGTAAACTTTTACATTATCGAGAAACACTGATATGAATGAAACGGATATACCGTCGGGAAATATAATAAAACCGGACCCCTTTCAAGCTAGCTAGGAACTCTAGGATTCTGCACTTGCTTAGATGGCCCAAATCATCTTTTTCAGAGCCCTAAACAACGGGAGGTCCGCGAAGTTAGGCTATTCTGGGCTATCCAAGGATGTTGAATGATGGTCATAGGCTTTCATGGCAAAATCATGACAGATGTGAGCAGGCAATGAAACAAATTTGGGCGACTGCTGGGGCCGGTATATGCCGAAGAACGTTTCAGTACATGCATTTCAGGCAGCTCAGAAAAAGTTTCAAGGAAACACCGTATCATCAGCAACACGTGCAATCTGCGGTTTCATGATACTGTAGTAGGATCCCGATCTCCTTAGCAAATGGAGTATATCGCCATAGTTCCACCATGTTATACCTTCCCTGATGGGTGACAAAAGATGGGTTTTGGACATCCACGTCGCCCAATGGGCCTTTCCAGGTTGAGTTTTGGGATTTAGCCAGGAAACTTCAAAATCAACAATAACCTTTGCTACTCCAAATTCCCAAGCTCAAGAAACACACCTCTCCTTGCATCCCCGGCCTAGTTGCGGGTCCACCTCGTCGCTCAAGGGACTTTAGCTGTTGCCAACGGGCGACAAAGAAGACATTTCTCAGCAATCACGGGGATAAAGCAGTTGAAAACCAATGACATCGATAGTTAGAAAGAACAGGTGAGTGGATTGGGTGGTTGTTTGTTCTTGCAAAGATGAACACGTATGGACACGTCATATTCCAATGATGGTTTATTTTAGGAGCAAGAAACTTGTCCTTTTCCAAAAGCTTTAGCAACCTTTGATGCTGGGTACTTCTGGGTGGTGGGTGCTGATCGCGCCAACCCCCGGCTGCGTGGCATTGAATTTTCACCAGGGTCTAGTCTGGTGTGCGAAAAAAATCCGGTGGAGAGCCTGGAGGGATTCAGATCACCAACCTGTTTGGTCAGACTGTCTTCCGGTGGAATGTTTTTTGAAATTCAAAAATGCTGGAGCAAAACCATCCTGCTAGTTTGAAGATGGGCTTTAATTTGCGGAATTGAGTGGGATGATGATTTGATGTTCAATCTTCAGCTTGGAAAGTGTGTTCAACCTGATCCCAAGATATCCCAGGTTTATGCACCCTTGATGTGAGATCAGCATCAAGCTTTGTAATCGAAACTGCCTCGAGTTATCCGAGTTTGGATTCATTTGGTACATCAAAACGACCTCACAATAAGCACAAGCATGGTCAATCGGGAGAGTCACTTCACTTATTCCAGTCTGGGAATAGCTGTAACTTGCCCAGATCCATAGTCTTCGTTTGGAAATACAAATCAAAAACCCACGCCCATTACTTTTTCCTGCGGGCCATCACTTCAGGTGCCTCCCAGCAGCCGCAGTGTGGGAACACAGGGAACCACAGCGAAACTCAAAAAAGATAGGGCTTTGGTCGTTTTGGTCTTGGCATGTTGTTTATGTTGTTTTTCTCGTGAGGTAACGGCAATATTTGGGTTTTGAAATTCATTGGGTGGAAGTCAGCCCCATCGACCAAAGTTTCAACCATCGGCCAAATAGTGTTGGAGCATGTGCCCATGATATTCTAGGTTTCCACCCCAGGTATAACGACCATATCAGCTCAGGCTTGGGTAACACTAACACCGTTAAACCATCATACCCTGCCTGCTATTGACTTCATTGATTCCCATTGCATATTTGCAGCACTCTATGCCCGCTGTGTCCCGTTACTACTAGGTTGTTTTGTCGCGCTACACACTGGTGGTCCAGCCACCTTGTTTCCATAGGGGGTAGATGCCGTAACTTGATTTCTAACTTTATCCGTTGTATTGATTCTGCCATAGTGGTGGCTACGTACCTGCAAGATTCTACCTCATGATTGGGTGGAACGTTTGCTCATGCAGCACATAACCACCAAAGTCTTTGCCACCAATATTGGTACACCCGTTTGTACTACCAAAATTTAATCCTGTAGGTTTACTTCAAAAAGTTTTGAAATCAAAAAATAGATTAATTCTGCGCATGTTAAAGGTTGATTACATTGATACCCTCTTGAAATATAGACAGTAATATAAATATACAATAAATATACATATAAGATGACCTAGTGCCCTAGGGTGAGGAACATGGGTTTTATTTTTGGATCCTGGCCATATGTAAAATAGTTTTGAAGAGGGGGGTTGTGGCACAGGATAAAAAAAAATAGTATGATAAAGGTGGGTGGGAAAAAAAAACTCGGTTCTCACCACCTCAAAAATTACAATGGCTAGCACTTTTATAGGTGTCCTATAATTCTGTGAAAAGGGGTTCAAAAAGACCAATTTAGGACACGTAATTGTTGAATCCATTTTGCGTTGAAGGCTTTAGCACTACCTAAGCAATCCCTGAAGCACTTAAAGCAATACCCCCTATATTTTCTAATATAGCACTGTGCCCTGTATGGTCTTTATGGTGATTGGATGGGAATAAGATAGACAGTTCGCAATCTATATCTACAGGCAATCAGATAGACAGTGAACTCGCAAGAAAAAACGGCGCGGATTGGACATTAGGATTGTTTTGGAGAGGGGGTGGTTGGGGGACAGAATAATTTTGAGATGTTGGATAAATATGTCCGAAGTTCAAAAGCTGGGAGACGAGGATTTTCTTTTGTACGGATTTTTGATGCCGTATGCTTATTATAGCTAACATCTCCAAGATTTAAAATCATTGCTTTTTCCTATCTGATAGGCTGGGGCCTCAAGAAATAATTGTGTTGTCGCAAATTTTCTCCAAGGAGTAAACCTCCCTGGTCGGTCCAAAGGGGTATCATTGGTGCATTCCAGCTCTCTTTTTCAATGATCCTTTGTGAAACCAACACTAATCCTAGCTATAGTGAGTCAAATCACATCCAATCACCAAATCGCCCTACCGAAGAGCTATGGCAGCTATGGCATTTGGATCGGCTGAGGTCCCAGTTTGTTGGCCTCCACTGTGTCATCTGCCTTGCCGTCCAACCTGGAGGCACCACCAACTTTCAACAGGGCATTTTTCGATACAATGGGATACCCTTTGTCCATGGTCACCATAGTCACCATACCCAGACAGTGTGAGTTTTATGCCATGATAGTCCTAGATATTCTAGGATATTCTAGGTGGTCCCCAAAAGCGTGGTTTTGAAGGAGGGATTGTTTCCAAACGTTTCTTATCTGCATGCCCTTACTCCACTGGCTACGCTCTAGACTCATCAACTCAAACATTCGCAACAGCCATGGACAGCAATAGCTTGGCATAAATAGAATAGAGAGGATGAATCAAGGACAAGTGGATCGCAACAGGGTCCCGACCACAAACTCTGACACTGATAATGGCACAATGGTAACACAACGTGCAAGATATGCATTTGGTCCTTATTAGTCGACAATAAGAGAATGCTCTTCTTGTCTTGTGGACATGCTCTCAGGCAGTCCAGAGATGCATCATCACGCGGGTCCCGGACCCAGGGACACTCGTGGGAGATATATTGGGGAAATGGATGGGCAGTGGGGTGAAAGATCCCTTCTGAGCTGAATGCCCTCGCCAGAGAAAGGCAAGATTTTATTTGCAGCCAAAATCTAAGGTGGCCTGTTTTTGCCAGTGGTATGATCAATTGACCAATTGACCAATTGACACTAGATATTTAAATATGTTTAGGGGGTTGCTAGAAAGTTGTGCCCCATAGTTTACTAAGTTGGTCTATACTAGATCAACTAAGGGGTGATTTTAACTATAGTTGGATGGGGTCACAAACTAACTTATAACTAGGCTACTAGGGGCATCACCGTGTATCCGGATATCAATCAAACGAACCAGAATCAATGATATCGGAACCATTTTCTCGACTTCTATGCCGATGGTTCTTTCAAAAAGAAAGCAACATATTTAGCATGACTAGTCACTAGTCTTTAATTTATCTTGGTGAACGCCCGCCTGGGTTTGTTGATATCCACATTTTATTTGGGAAAGTCAGCCAAAACAGCTGCATGTCTGGCAACAGGCCGTGGCTGTGGCCCTAGGGTTGAACGCCACCTTGGCTGCCAAAGCTGCAGCAGGGACTCCTGGGGGAGGATAGGGTGGTTTAAAACGAGAACTTGGAGATATCTACTGCATGTAAATTCTATATACGCATACATTACATACATTACATACATTACACACATTACACACATTACACACATTACACACATTACACACATTACACACATTACACACATTACACACATTGCACACATTACACACATTACATACATTGCACACATTGCACACATTGCACACATTGCACACATTGCACACATTGCACACATTGCACACATTGCACACATTGCACACATTGCACACATTGCACACATTGCACACATTGCACACATTGCACACATTGCACACATTGCACACATTGCACACATTGCACACATTGCACTCATTGCACACATTGCACACATTGCACACATTGCACTCATTGCACACATTGCACACATTGCACACATTGCACACATTGCACACATTACACACATTACACACATTACACCCATTACACACATTACACACATTACACACATTACACACATTACACACATTACACACATTACACACATTACACACACTACACACACTACACACATTACACACATTACACACATTACACACATTACACACATTACACACATTACACACATTACACACATTACACACATTACATACATTACATACATTACATACATTACATACCTTACATACCTTACATACCTTACATA